TATTACGATATTAATGGTTTAAAACAAATTTTTTTTAGTGATAAAATAATAACATGTAATGTCTGTAATTGAGGTGGTGTATTGTGAATTATTGTAATTTATGACGTTCCATTATTTGCTAAGAGATTTGTATGAATGAAATTTAATTGAGCGGCAAAATTGTATGCCCGGTGGTGCGGTGTGCAGGGTATATTAAATTTCTTAATTAACTTGTTATTATAAACATGGTCCGATTTCGAAAAAGTATTATTAGTAATATGTAAAATTGGCGAATTGACGAAATGAATCGATTTAGTAAAATTTCAAATTTTTTTCAAAATTAATTTCATTTTCTTGCCTCACAGATAGGTGAATATGTTATGAATGTTTTACACACTTGTATTAACTAATTTGTGTTTGCAACATTTATATTTCTTCTGAGACCCTAGAATTTTGCCCTTCGGTTTGCTAAAACTTCAATTATCTCCAAAATTATAAGCACTGAAAAATATCCCAATTCCACGTCATTTTTTTTTATCAATTTCGTAGTTTCAGAAGAACTGCGCTGTATTTCGACATCTTTCAAATCTAATAGTCAAACCAAACATGTTTAGTTTTAGTGAAAAGTCCGGTATGTGAAAAAATGGAATGCTTAACAGTCGCAAAACGCTCAAAAGTTGTTAAAATCTACTACGTTTCGTGCTTTAAGAGCAGATTATTGTGCGCATAATCGTTCAACTAGTCAGGCAATCGGTAAAGTTTTGAAGAAATTTGAAAAGACTGGGTCGGTTATGGATAATTGTAAGGCCTGCGCATAATTGTTTTGCTCGTTCCACCTCAAATATCGTTACTACAGTAGTAGTAAAAGTGTGGCCGAAGACTCGAAAGTGTGAGTACTTCTCGACGTACTCAAAATTTTGGGCTTTCTTACGGCACATTATTACGTACTTAGCAATTGGACTTACACTCACCTACATCCATACTAAGTCCAGCTCTCAAACCAATTAAAGCCGCCTGATCCTTCAAAATATCGTTTATACTCTGTACGGTGATTTTTTGAATAAATACTTTTCTCAGAGCCGAGGTACATTCTCTCTCGAGGGATATGTAAAAAAAAAGTATTGCATGTGAGACTCGGAGAATCCTTAAATAATTACTGACTGTTGCAATTTTCGGGTCGGAGGAGTGATTGAACCATACTTCTGTCACGTCGGTCACTGTGAATTCGAGCGAAAATGACTTGAATGCGAGAGAAATTTCCCGGTCGTTTAATCTCTCCACACCGTTTATTCATTTTTACGAGGCTAAGCGAAAAACCGTGTTTAACTCTTAAGTACTTGAAAAACCAACATTCGTCAAGTTACGGCTGAGATACTGTCCAATATTTGCCGATAATTGGTTGAGAATTGCATCAAACGGATCGAAGTGTGCAAAAAATCGCGAGGCAGTTATTTCAATTATCTAGTGTTTCAATGTCAAAGCTCTAACTTTTGTAATAAAAACGGAGTTTCATAAAAAAAATTATTTGAAATGCATTTTATTTACGTTCATTTTCGAAACCGTAAAATGGATAATCCTGTAATCTTAACTACGCCACTGTAGTTGGGAGCAAATATAAATTTGTATATTTTTTGAATAAATTCTGTGGTGTCGTTTAACGTTTACGGCTGATGCTGAGCAACACTGAGAGCGCAGTCAAAATGGGAATGAGCTTTTCTACGTATTCCAGACTAAATTAGGCACGTGACAAGACGAACTAAACTAAACTGTAATTGCGTTCGCGTAACGTCACTGTGGACAACTTTGTACAATTCATCTCTATGAAAGCCTTGAAAGTATCCAGCACAGTACCCGTCGGTGGAAACAGAGAAAGAGAAAGACCTCTAATCCTTCTGAAGGATCCGATGGAGAATGACCTGGTTGTTAATTCGGTTAAAAGAGGATATATACCTTTTTACATTTAGACATTATAATCTTATGATATTATACGTAGAAAAATAATCAAGCCGACAATCGTTTGTAATCACAAGTATTATTATTATTATTATTTTTTTTTTTTACTAATTTTTTAAATACGTAAATTAACAATATTAACATTATGATTTAATTATTTTCTGATTTACTAGAAAAATATTTTAAATCCAAATGTAAATTGCCAAGCCAAAGACAATCGGAACTTTATAGCAATAGAAAATAATTCACTCTTTTTATACGGCTTATTTTGTTCATCGTTAAAATTTACTGAAAAATTACAATATCATAAAAAACTCATTTCATCATCAAGTAATGATGTATATTTTATGAGACACAAGTAAGAGGGCTATTTTCGACCACGCCGAAGTTTTTTATACCTTTCATGACCATATCAAATTTATGGTGTTTCATTTTGAGATTAATAATTAATTTTCGTAACTGAAAAATTGGTTGGATTGTAGGCCATATGTTAAAATTTTTCGATTTCGCTGATATACGAGGATAATATATATTTGTTGATACGTGTTTAGAATACCAAATTAGCCCCTAGATGATTTTCTATTTGATTTTTTTCATAACCTCAAGTCTGCTGAAATTGGTCGTTTGGAAGATATATGGTGTGTTTGATAAGCTATATATGTATTTGTGCAGATTCCAAATTTGAAGCTTTCAAATGCCTCTGAGAAAGCCTGTCGTTTTGACCCGAACACATTACGATAGAGTTATTTTTTCTCCTTTTGGCACTTACATACATCGTACCACAGTTAATATATATATATTCACCATTTCATGCAAATGAAAGGTATAAATAATTGATTGTATTGTCGCGAACGTGGTAACCCTGTGACCTTAAAATTCCCTCTAGCTTCTGCCGGCATTCTTCTCCTTTCCATTGATATATTTGCCATCGTTCTGGCTTGTTTAGTTCGCCTGCTGTGTCATGTTGAGTAAACGTGCGTTCGTGGTGCTCGTCAGGAAAATGGAAAAACGAATTCTAGAGCAACGCGTCGCGATAAAATTTCACGCCAAATCGGGGGAAACAGTTTCGGAAACGAACGCTAAAATTTCAATACAACCCGTAAACCAAACGCCAAAGCTCACAATGTTTGTCTCCGCACTCCCTCCGTCGGAAGAAAACTCTCATGAGCAAGTTGAAGGTGAAAACAATGTTTATTGCCTTTTTTGATAGCCGTTGAATCTTCCACAAAGAATTTTTCCACCGGGGCAAACCATAAATCAACCATAAATCAAGTCACCGAGTACTCGAAAGATTGCGAAAACGAGTCAACAGGGTGCACCCAGACATCGCTCGTAACTGGATACTTCATCACGACAACGTGCCGTGCCACGCCGCCCTCTGCGTGCCCCAGTTTTTGGCCTCTAAAGAGATCGTCGTGTGGCACCAACCGTTTAATCCGCCCGATATGTCATCCTGTTACTTTTGTTTGTTCCAGTCGATTTAGGGCATACAGGCGGCTGTGACGAGGGTACTTGCGTACATCGCAGTCGAAACGTTCCAGAAATGTTACGAATCATGGAAAACGCGCTGGAATCGTTGTATAGCTACTCAAGGGGACTACTTTAAAGGGGCATGGATTAATTGTCACACCTCGTAAAAGGTTCCACTCAAATGCTAAAACAATAATAATGGAAATGAAATTATGTTCGCGTATTTTTATGAAAATGACATGATGAATACAACTTATTATTGAAAATAAAATCGATATAAATGTATTATGTATTTTTTTGTTCCGCAAGAAATTACTCGACCTTACAATTCTTTAATTAGCTTTAACTCTTTATAGTATCAGCGCCGACTTTGATGCTACCTACGCTAGTTACTTACTAGTAATAAAACGAACAATTCAATGCAAATACTTAAAGTATTAGCTGTTACAACAATGTATATAATACGAGTATATGAATGATGGATGTATGTTTATAGAGTCGGCAAAATTAAATGATTATTTTTTGCTTTCTTGTAACCGCTTTATTTACAAATTAAATTATTCTAAAACTAATTATTTGGACAATAAAAGCTTCTTATTGGGTTTTCGGAAAAAAATATAAGTTAAGCACAGTGTGTGTATATGTGCATGTGTGTGAGATATATGCTAAAATGGCTAACGAATATTATGAATTATTTTATGATTGATTGGTATGACTCTCCTAACTTACATATGCCATCTACCTTTCTAAACTTTCATACTGAAATTATAACCAATATTTTGTAAAACATTTAAAATTGACTTAATGTAAACATGATCTTAACTAAATGTCTTGCTTAAAAGTTCATTCTTTATTATTATTATTTCAGTTGTTTAAAAACTAATTTCATAAAAATATTAGGGGACACCCGGGTTTGAACCGGGGACCTCTCGATCTGCAGTCGAATGCTCTACCACTGAGCTATATCCCCAATTGTGTATGCACGAGCCATAAAGCACACACAAAAAGCCAATAGAAACAGGAAAAATAAACACCATCACAATCAATATTGCTAGCAATGAGTCATTTTATATTCTTTGTCAACGTCATTTCCCTTAAAATTTATTACCGAATGAATTAGCACTACTTCGAAATGGAAAGCTGGATATCTTTCTTTAGTTTTGATAAAAAAAATAATACACTTACCTTTATAAATATATATACATATACATATACTTTTTCAAAAATTACTTAAATACTTTACTGAGAAATTATTAAATTAAATTAATGCCATAAAGAGAAAAAATAAATGTCTGTGCAAAACTAAGAAAACAAAAAAAAAAAAAAAAAAAAAAAAAAAAAAAAAAAAAAAAAAAAAATTATAAATATTTTCGTTTGAAATTCTTTCATTTGTACATAGTTTTCAATAATAAAATTAATAATTAAAACATGAATAGACAAACTTGGAGGCTGCTGCAATATATTTTGCCAGTTGGCTTTATCGCTACTGCCATTTGGCGGGCAAGTCATTGTAAATTATAGGCAATTTGTTATCTTTTGTTTCACTGCTTATCGAAATTTGTTATTAATTATATAACCATTTTTTTTCATTCTTTCAGCAACTACCGCCTCACGCTTTGGCTACTCAGAACCGAATCAACGTCGTTGGGCGCGACACCATGGCCATTGCGCTGGAAAAACACAATCACCGATCGCCGTACACTCGGCTAAAGTAAATACCGTTAGTTCTAAGGATAGCTTAAATCAATTCTCCATGAAGGCATTGCAAAATTTAGAGTTTGGTTCAAATATTGTAAATTTATTTTCGTCCTACGAGTAATTCTGTGTGGTTGATGATGATGAGGATAATATTGGTACTGCAGAAAATATATTGTTATTCCTAATTTGGCTAATAAGTTTGAAAATTTTCTATGTTTTTTCACAAACGAGAGAAAACAAAATTACATCTGAATTCACATTTCTTTTGGTCAGCAATTAACTGCCTTTTTTGAAGATCTTCCGAAACTGACCATTCTTGAATTCTTGGTTTCTCAAATTTTGTGTTGCTGTTGTATTTAAATTTAAATATCTAAAACAAATTTGTTTTCAAAGTAAAACAACTTATGTTATTAAAAACTTTAATATTATATGTCTGAGTGTATGCATTGCACATATATGTATTTGTGCCCTTTGGTAAGAGGTGTAGTAAAAATAAATCCATTATTTTTGTATGTAATTGGAGGCTTTAATTACCCTTTTTAGAATAATCCGATATAGTTCAAATATGCGCCGTTTTTTCGAAGATTTATTGCAATTTTAAAGGTAATTGCATTATGCCTCTCTCATAGAAGACCTCGTTCTTATTGGCAAGAAATTGAGACAGTCGATTTTCACAAGCCTCGAAGTGGATTTTTTACCAGCAAAATTTTTCGCAATGGTCGGTAATCACTTGGTGCCAGTTCCGGACTATAAGGTGGATGCATAAGAATGCCCTAATCCAGCTCCCGGAGCTTCTGGCCAATCCCTATCGATGTGTGCGACCTGGCGTTGTCCTGATGAAACACAATTCCTCTGCTATTGGCCAAAGCTGGCCGCTTCTGGGCGAATGCTTCTCTCTGACGGTCCAAATATCGACAGTAAAGTTCCGAGTTAAGAGTTTCGCCGTATGGTAGCAGCTCTTAGTAGATGATTCCCAGCCAATCCCTCCAAAAGCATAGCTAAACATTTCTGGCCATCAATTCAGGCTCACCGCCTTTCGACCAGGAGTGTTTTTTGATCCATTTTTCATCGGCAGTCACTAACCGATTCTGAAATGGGTCGATTTTGTTGCCATTCAGCAGCGATTCGTAGATGGAAATTCGGTATATGCGGTTTTTTGCGTTAACTCGTGTAGCACATCGAGCTTATTTTCGTATCCAATGGTTCCAAACGGTTTTTTTGTGCCATTTTCAGCTTTTGGGCTATCGAAAAAGTGCTTACCAGACAGTCGGACTTGCTATTCACATTTTCGGCAGCTTGGCTTGCGTTTTCGCCCTTATCGAAGAGAAACTGTAAAATATAGCGAAGTTTCTCTTTCCTAGTGTCCATCTTTGACGCACGCTCAAACAAAACTGAATCAACTAATCACAAAACTTTCAGAGAAGATATGGCATTCTTCTAACACCATCTAGCGGAACCCAATCGGAGATACAGATAAATAAATAACAGTATGTTGAAAAATAATAGATTTTTTTCTAATATACCAATATTTGAAACTTATCTTGAACAATAAAGAATTTCCGATTTCGATAACTTTCGGTGTCAATGATTATTCGAATATAAATTTACACCGTGACTTTTGGCTGAACTTCTCCTATAATTTGTGGTTTTGCGTCTTGATATTTTTCCTGAAAATGGGGAGACCTAAAGTTTATACTAAGTCCGCTCCGAACGGCAGATGTTTTTTTATGAGAAGCTTTTGATTCATGTCAGAAATATACTCGGCGGGCTTGAAATTCACTGCCGAGGGGCGATCACAGCTAGAAACATTTATTTACTTTAATTTTGGATGTTGGTCTAACTTGGCCAGGGTTCGAGGCCTTTAGGATAGCGGTACGCTAGTAATGCTAGCTGTTCGGTTTTTTCGGCCGCCGATCATGTTTAAGACTTTTTAAACGATATTTTTAACCGAAGCCTCATACCTGACCAAATCGTTAGTATAGGGGCTATATGATACAATCCTACGATTTTGATGATTTTCGAGGGAAATGTGTTCTTAAGCTTGTGGATGCTTTGTGACGGATTTTCGACCAAAAACCTAATATCATGACTTATACCTATAATAATCGTCCAATTTAGATGATGATTTTCAGCTTCAATATGTTTTTCTTCATATGTGTGCAGAATGCTGCTCTAAATACGTGTATGTAAAGTCGATCGTATACTAGTAGATCCTACAACGGTCCATTTTATATAGTCTACTGCGAGAAATAATCCTCCATATGTTGCAGTGCACTTGATTCCTAAGTTTGGCTGAAATATCTCATAAGCTCATGTACAAAGTAAGATTAGGCTGTATAACTACCGATCTACCGATCCGATCGTATCGTACCGCTTACACTTAGGTCTGACTAAGACCCATTGTGGTGCCACAAAAACTTGATTCTCTAATGAATCTCATTGGACCTACGACCTTAACGTCAGACCGTCGAGCAGTAGCAGCAGTAGGGTTCCAACAATACGGAAGCTAGCACTGCACAAAGCAACAGACACATAAGAGAATGGCGATCGTTGCTTCCTCCTCATCATCTTTGCAGCTTCTGCAGCATCTTCTATAGGGAGCCCCTAGTATCCGCGTGCCAGTGGCTTATCATAACTCCTATTACTTTTGATAAAGTGCCCTCTTTTTAAGAAGTACCCACCTCGTGATCTCTACTTATCCCATTTCGGCTAGGTGTGCCTCCATTTGCAACAGGTTGTAGCTTACACACTTACACTTAGTTTATATGCAAATTCTAAACAGATTGCAATAGGCAAAAGGCATACCAACGCGTTCATCCACATTACATTTTCCTTCGATGTTCCTGTGATCAGACACGCCCGTGAGAGACAGTCTTTTCTACTTGGCCATCTCCTATTGAGATCGGCGATAGTTCAGCACTATTTTTGAATAACTGAACAAATAGACGGACTTGGCTTTATCAACCCGACTCGTTATTCTGACCCAACCGGTATAGATTCTGTTGGGTCTCTCTCTTTGCCTTTTGGTACTTACATACTTCTTATGATTAATTTCTGAAAAACCAAATTAATTTCAATTTAAAATTCCAAAAGTACTTGAATGCAGAAAACATAATTAATAAAATAATATTTTGTTACAGTCTATTCCACTGAATATGCCAGCAGTCGATATGATTGGTTATCATAATTTGCTGCCACATCCACTTGTAATGGTCAACAATGGACACACAGGTAGGTGGTATGAATCATACGTAGCTGATTTATTGTAATAATCGTAGCAGTATAGATCTCTGTTAAAAAATCATTTTTTCGAAGGTAAAAAATTAAATTTTGTCGAATTTAATATTTTTGCTAGAAAGTTATGCCAAATTTTAAACTTATCAAATCAAATAAATGAATAATATTCTTCCACACACCAAACAAATAAATTTCAATATTCAAATGATATTTTCGCTTTTCAATTTCATTGCAATTCTATGCCATCATAGTCGCCATCAGCATACCCAAACTCACAGAAGAGCAGAAGGCAAACGGCGATTTTATGCCATATGCGCGTGGCGGCAAGCTGCCGGGCGATTTCGAAGTGGAGAGTTTACACTTCCATTGGGGCGATAAGAACAATCGTGGCGCTGAGCATGTGATCAACGACATCCGCTATACCATGGAGATGCATATTGTGCATCGTAATAAAAAATATGCAACACTTACCGATGCTTTGGAATACGCGGATGGTGCTGCTGTATTGGGGTTCTTTTTCAATGTAAGTTGATTGAATGCTGAGTGGAGAGTTGAGTGGTCGAAAGAAAAAATTGTGACAAAGGAAATGCAATGTTGATTGTTTGTTAGTAAAGCTATTCATTTTGAGTTTATTGAGTTATTTGATTGTCTGACTATGAATGTAAATTATTTTCCCTTTTTTTGTATTTCCTGTTGCATTCTTTGATTGCGAGTATTTTTTTACTCTTTACTTACAGTTGGACGAAGATGAAGGTCCTGGATTAACGTCAATATGTCGCCATTTGCATTTGATACCGGAAGCGAATGACGCTGTAAATTTAACAGTTACCTTCTCATTGGCCTCTCTGATTGCTAACGTTGATGTAGATAAATTTTATACGTACAAGGGTAAGGATATTTTAAAAATCTATTTAATTATGAAATGAAAACATTAAAGGAAAATAAATTCACATAAAATATAATATAATAACATAAAAAATACAATACTATAAAAAGAAATAAAATGAGCTAACATAAAATATTAATGAAAAAATTAAAAAAAAATTAAATTAAAATAACATAAGACAAAAAACGATAAAATGAAATGAAAGGATATCGTAAATATTTTTTTAATTATAAAATGAAAACATTAAAGGATATTAAATTCAAATAATATATAATATAATGACATATAAAATACAATACCATAAAAAGAAATAAAATAAAATAACATAAGATAAAAAACGATAAAATGAAATATGACAACATAAAATAGTAGAAAACAAACTGAAATAAAATAAAACAATAATAAAATAAAATAAAATAAAATAAAACAAAATAAAATAAAATAAAATAAAATAAAATAAAATAAAATAAAATAAAATAAAATAAAATAAAATAAAATAAAACGAAATAAAATGAAATAAAGTAAATAAAGTAAAATTATATTAAATTAAAATAAATTAAAATAAATTAAATTAAGTTACATTAAATTGATTTAAATTTAGTAAAAGTTTAAAAAGATATGGGCTGCTCTGTGTTTCGTATTGGCTATGGAGCGATTCAAGGTATCCAGGAAATGATGAGATCTTGAATCAATATTTTCTTTGCCTCCCTAATGTAGAAACATTTGTAGATACAATCTAATAGTTTAGATATCTAAACGAAACGAAATATATTATTGTACATACCTACAAACTTTAAAATTTTTATACCCGTATATATTTTTATTTATCATAATATTGGCTGCCACTCAATGAAAACTCAAGTCTACGAAACATTCTAGTGCAGCTAATTGCATATATATTGTACCCATTAAATTAATGTGCGTTATTCTAATTGAGTTCAAGTATTAATAAAAGGCTAAACTTACAATTTTTCTTACAACAAAACTCATTAATATAAGGCTCAATGAGATAATATTAACTTGTTTTGATTTAATGGTGGCGGCGGCACTTACAATAAGATAAAATCTATAAACTATATGTGTTTGTTATACAATTTACAATACATACTTACGTACATCATAGATGAATATACAAAATGACTTAATTCCCTTTACATAAATATGACATTATCAAGTGGCTTAATATGAGCAGATTAAATTACGTCACGAAGAAAATACGTTGTCTATACTTACATATGTGTATATGGATGTGCTTGTATGTATGTAAAAGGCATTTGATTGCATGTCACAATTTCCACAGTACATTCACATATGGAATTATACTATATACATATATACATACATACCTCACTTTTCGTGTGCCAACACCAATTGCTGCCACGCTAAAGTACGCCCATACATATTAATGCCTGTATATTATATGTACTGTATGTATGTATATGGCGACAATTATTATCGTTATTAGCATAGAATTAGTAAAATCAGTAGAATTAAAAGAAACTCAATATGCAAACAACATCACGGTGATATTAACGAAAACCGTAACACGAGAATGTATACGAAATCTATACATATGTCAACAAATATCGATATGCTTATATAATATATGTATACAATATAATGTACAGGTGCCACCAAATCAAGCGCCAAGCGTTGCATATAAATTGATCGCCAAATTTATGGCAATAAACCAAAAATTCTTGTTGAAAGGAAGGCAAAAGATTTTATTACCTTAGCTAATGTGCAGAGAGGATTGTGTGTTTGGAATACGAAATGGAACGGCTTAATTTTAGCTAATGAGCTCAAGAAATATTTTGACAAATTACACACACTCACAAATTTATGATGAGTTTTATGCGCAGAAAATAAATTTAAAATTTATATTTTAATTTTTCTTTGTATATATTACCCATTACAGGCTCACTCACAACACCACCTTGCTCGGAGGCCATCACTTGGGTGCTTTATCCCGATCCCATACCAATTTCACCTAAACAAGTAAATATTTGCATAATGAAGATATTATATATACTCCATACTATTCTCCCTCTACTCCCTCTCTCTCTCTCTTCTCGTTCACCCACAGATAGCACGCTTCCGTCAACTGCAAGATACACAAGATGGCGCGCTAGTCGATAACTTCCGTCAATTACAATCGGTTGGCAATCGTCGTGTTTTCATGCGTAACGGTAATACGAGACATACACACGTGGACGCTTTGAAGAAGGAATTGGATTATAAGAAATGGGATTGGTACAATTGATTAAGTGGCCGAATTATAATTAAACAACGTGTCATATTTGCTTGGGGAATTTTAAAAACGAGCTAACATTAGCTTTCGCCTATGCTTTTTCTTAGCGGCTAAGATAACTAATTTAACGTTCAATTTATGATCTATTTACGTACTTAATTACACATTGTTGGGCTTTTGTATGTATGTTTGGCATTTTTGTGCATTTACTCATTATATATTATATATATACATATTAACATATGTCTTTATTGTAACTAAATAGTCGCATGTAAAGTAGTAAATGTAATTCATATGTAAATGTATATTAAATATATAGTGAAGTTATGATTTTTTAATTGTTTTTAAATAAAAATAATAAATAATTGAATTGTTCTTGTTATTGTTTTTTTAATCTGTTACTTAATTAATGCTTAACAGTCTAAGTGGCCTTAGCTGACAAGCTGTATTATATTATAATTTCTAATAGAAGGCACGGTAATTGGTGTTAGCTACAATGTGTATCAAATGCTTCTCTTCGTCGACGATAGCTTCTAGCAACAGCAAACAATTTAAATAATTTTATATACAGGGTGGTCGATCTTTTATGTCGGTATGTAAACATTGAAGTAGGTAAGTTTGAGGAAAAACAACCGATTTCTCTAAGTGATGTATTTATATTCAGTTTGGTTTCTTACAATTTTTCGGACTGGTTTTTGAAAACAATATCAATCAATTGCTACCTTTATTAGCAAATACAAAAAGACTCCTTTTTTCTGAGTTTGCCATAACGTTGATTGTTATAGCGTCGACTTCAGCACGAATGGTTGCCTTGAGCTAATCAATAGTTTGAGGCTGATTGGCGTAAACCTTGCTTTTCAGATAACTCCACAAAAAGAAGTCAATGGGGGAAGAGGGGTTAAATTAGATGATCTGGCTGGCCAGTCAATGTCGCCTCTTTTTGATACCAGACGTCCCAGGAATTTTCGTTACAGAAATGCAATTTTTGCGTTTGCAGTGTGACATGGTGTACCGTCTGGTTGAAACCAGTAACCATCTAAACCTTTCTCACACATTTGCCGGCAGACATAATGCGCCAACATTCATCGATATCGATTTCCCTCGACAGTTTCGTTTTCTTCAAAAAAAAATATTGTCCAATGATGGTTTTTGCGCAAATCCCGGCCCAAAAGAAATTTTTTCCTATACGCACGTTGAGTTAACACAATGGAACAACTGTTTTCGATGTAAAGTGTCACTATTTCAGCGCGTTGTTTCGGTGTGAAGCGATCCATGGCAAAAATTGTACTGAATTGACGTTTCCAAAACACTTCTGATGCAATCGCTCGGTTGATAAATGTGAAATTTAATCAGCGTTTGCATACCGACATAAATGATGGAGCACCCTGTAAATAATAGTTTTTATTTGTCATTAAGCCCAAGGTAGTGTTCTATATTCAATTCAAGTCCGATTGGCCGTATTCAATGCAAAAAAAAGACACAACAAAAAACACTTTGAACTTGCTATTAATATATAAGGTTGTCAAATATCTCCCTTCCGCCTTTTTGCTTTCATTCAATGCTTTATAAAAAGTGTTACAGTGATCGGATTTAGTTAAAATATGCGCCGTTTTGTTCGATGATCTGAACTTCATAATACCTTCCTCGTAGAAGCCCCCCTCTTTATTTGCGAAGAATTCGGACAGCCACTTTTCACAAGCCTATTTTGAGTTCAACTTCACACCACCAAGGGCATTCGCCATGGACAGGAACAGGTGGTAATCACTTGGCGCTACGTCCGGGCTATATGGTGGATGCGATAAAACCTCCCATCCGAGCTCCCGTAGCTTCTGACGAGTCATCAACGAAGTGCGCGGTCTAGCGTTGTCCTGGTGGAACACTACACCCTTTCTGTTGGCCAATTCTGGACGCTTCTGGTCGATCGCCTGCTTCAAGCGATCCAGTTGTTCGCAGTAGATGATAGAATAAAGCATGCCATATGGGAGCAGCTCATAGTGGATGATTCCCTTCCAATCCCACCAAACACACAGCAAAACCTTCCTGGCCGTCAATCCCGACTTGGTCACTGTTTGGGACGATTCACCAGCCTTCGACCACGACCGTTTTCGCTTGATATTGTCGTATGTGATCCATTTTTCGTCGCCAGTCACCATCCGCTTCAAGAATGGGTCGAGTTCGTTCCGTTTCTGCAGCATATCGCAGGCGTTGATTCGGTCCAGAAGGTTTTTTTCAAATTTTCTTTTGTATCCAGCCTTCTGCAGATGGTTCAAAATGGTTTGGTGACTAACTCCCATCTCCTGGGCGATGTCACGAGATACCATATGCCGGTCTAACTCGATGTATTTCATGATTTGATCGGTATTTGTCGTCACAGGTCTTCCGCCGGCTGGCTTATCCATGGTGTCGTTTTCACCGGCTCTGAATCGTCGAAACCATTCCTCCGCGGTTCGAGGTGATAGAGTACCATCCCCCAAAACACCATTAATCTCACGGAACGTTTCTCTAGCGGATTTGCCTTTAACGAGGGAAAACTTTAAAATAGCGCGAATTTCGGCGTTAGTGAACTCCATGTTTACACGTCTATAACTGTTGAACGCAATATCCAAACTAATCATGCACAGCGTTGTGTTGTAAGTTATGTCAAGACCTTTCAAATACAAGCTCTGTAGCGCTTTGTACATAGCCGCGAAATTCAAAAGACAACAAGCGGAATTCGACAACCTAATATTTTTATGTTTTATTTTTGTGTGGACTACAACATATTAATGGAAAAATTCTTTCCAATAGGTGTTATGAATATCTCAAAAACCTCCATCAATTGTTATTTTAAAGTAATAAATATAAAATTCGCATACCTGATTCCACTTAGAAATACTTCGCTTCAATCATTTTAATTTAACGAATTTACATTTGGGCACTTATTTTGTTATCGCATAATTTTATCAAAATAACATATATATATTTCCATTTTAGATCAATTTTGTATTGCCGAGAAAAATACAACAATATGATTACAAATCAGCTCCTTTTCATACTGGCTAGACTTTGCAGTACGAATTTGAAACTATTTCTCCAAATTAAAAGTAACAGTTTTTTTAAAAAAAATTAATAATTATAGTAAAAAAAAATAATAATAATAACGAAATAATAATAAAGTAAAAAAGATAATTAAAAAAAGGATAAAAAGTAATAAAAATATTGTCATATCTCCAAAAAAATCTTTATTAAACAAATTTCTTTACACTCACATTAATTTCCACAAATTCATTACACTATTTCTTCCCTTTGCCATACAATTCTGTCGATGTCGGTATATCTTCCACAAAGAAATTGGCCGGTATTAAATGGAAGACCATCTGCAATATCTCCAACAGGGTAGTCTCTACAGTTTCTGTGACCAACGGGCGAAGGGCTTCAAAGAATTCACGCCAATTCTCATTGAAGAAGAGATTTGTACTACGTTCTACCTCTTTGCTATTGCCATTGAAGATATTTTCGAAATTCGTTTTAACACCACCGGGAGTCAATTCCATGCGTACTTTTGTAACATTGTAAAAGGTGAAACCGCCTTTCTCGTAGAGGCGTGTTTTCGTGCGCATGAGTATATTTAATTTGTCTAAGAAATAGTAAAAATGAAAAGAAAACCAATTAATTGTATGCAAGCGGCGATGTTAGATCCTTTAGTATACCTATTTCGATAAACATATGACCGGCGCCATTAAGTGGTATCAACAATATCTTGCCAGCCATTTTGTATTGACCCTCCAAACGTAGTTTGGGTATATATACCTTCGTCTCCCAGCTGTAATCCTTTTTGCTTACTCTATATTGATAAAGAAAATATGATTTTTTTTTTAATGTGAAGTATTTTTTCTTTAATATTATTTTTTTTTTATTTATGCATTTGAATTATTTAGTGTGGCATGCGGTTTTGCAGAAACTTACTTGCTTTCTTTAATGATCAATTTTGAGAGTCCAGTTGCAACAACATCGGTCAAATTGGCACGTAGTTGGACTGCGCCTTGATTATCTTGTGAAAATTGTATATCCTTCACTTTTAAAGGATCAAAAGTACCAATAACTTCCGTTACCTCAGGTATACCTTGAAGAATTTGTAATTATATAGTAACGTTATATAAATGATCAAATGAGTCTTAAAACTGTTTATACCTATGCTCAACTGTTCCATCAACTTTTGTATGCTCGATGTGGAGCATTTCACGAATTCGGGTTCATTTATACGACACGTTTGCATATAGGAGGCTGCAAGTACGTATTTAAAAGATAAAAACGATAAAGTAATGTGAATATTCATCCATTGACAAATATTTTAATGCAGTCTAAGCAATATCATTAATTTTAATTTAAATTTCAATTCAATTTCAATTATTACGACTTTTTTTAATACCTTATTATTTACCCAAGCTAAGTATAGACAAGTATAAGATATTATTTCTGAGGTATTTTCGTTCGACTGTTTAGATGCCTCTCACAACCTTCATAACCGGCATCGTTTCACGAGTTCAGACTGCAGCCGCTTTAGAAAACTCATCTACTTATTGGAAAATTCCAATATTTTTTGATAATAAAAACTAGCTTTTGAAGCTAAAATACATTAAACAATTTTCTGAAATTTTCGTTTAGTACAATAATTTCCTTCTCTTTAAAAAACATTGTTGAAAAAACATCTTTTTTCAGCTTCTAAAGGAAACTGCTTCCTTAAATTTCTCCGCGGTTTTCATTGTTGACTGTTCGGTGAGAAATGTCAGTAATGCTCCAACTACCCATTTTACTTACCTTGTTTCCATAACAGCCGACTGGACATACATGAGAGAGTTATCGACGCTACTGAGTTCAGCGAAATGTTGCCAGCTGTCAGTGTGTTTGTACACTTCTGAACAAATATATAATTTTCGCCAACAAATTTCATAATTTAGGTGTTCGAATATAAACGCAAATCAAATATAGAAGATCTATATGGTGACAAAGAATTAGTTCCGATTTTTTTTTTTTCATTTCTTTTGAGAAAAACTACGCATTATCTTCGATTATTTAATATTACTTTAAAAAAGCCTATACAGGCAGCCTTGTGTAGCAGCGAGAAATGAGCCGAGCCGGTTTTACGGTAAAAATCAAATCGCCGTTGGTTTCTGCGGGACACCCGTCAGTAACGGGTTGACAACTTTGTGTTTACATAGCGCTCTCATAAGATGGGTTGCTATGGATGGAAGGTACATGAGTTGGGTAGTTGCAGCATTAGCCAGTAACGAAATTGAGAGACAAAGATTGTTTACTCTCACCAAGAGCGCATTTTACTGAGTTTTCACCGAACTGATGGTCCTCTGAACGGACGAAGATTTATGTAAAACTTGCTTTGCAACAATTTCTAGCTTAGGTTTTTAGGAAGGATGATTGAAATACGGAAACGTGTTTGTAAGTCTTTTTCATTTTGGTAAGCAATATTCAATAAATACAAATATATATATGTATATATATAACTGACGCTTTGTAATCGCTGAAGTGACTTTTTTTTTAAAAATTATATAAATGGCGCTATGTAACCTCTGAAGCGATTTTTCGGCCTCGCTCCTCCTCCGAATGGCTGATGGTTTTTCTACGTGGAGTCTTTCTTTCATGTCCAAAATACACTTGGAAGGGTGGAAATTCGCTGCCGAGGGGCGATCGCAATTGGAAAATTTAAGTTTAGTTTTCTAAAATTTTGAATGTTGGTCAAACCAGGACTCGATCCATTGCATTCAGAATTTCTAGTCTTTTTGAATAAAAACCAAGTTTTATTTTTTCCTTTTAAATGCGATTAACATTACATTTCGGGCGCCGTTGTCAATTTCGGAAGCTTAAGATTACACTATCGTCATTATGACCGTTTGATTCCCAATGTTTTGCGGCTCATTTGGTGGGCACAACTTTCTAGTAAATTAAAGGAAATACCATATATTGATATTAAATGATGGCAACTTCGCTGCCACTACATTTTTGTCTAACGAGTACTTTATAATTAGGATTGATAAATTGAATTTAATTTACCAAAATTACGTTTGGGAACTTATTTTTTTATTGTAGCATTCATATCAAGGTTTTGATATTATTTCCATTTTCAATAAATTTTTAACTTTTTTCATACTTGGCAGTTTCCCAGCATGAATTTGGAACTTTCTCTACAAACCAACATCAAAGGCTCTCTCGTTTAAACTACCACACCGAAAAATTCAAAAATTTTAAAGCAGATCAGTGATAATCCTCAAACCACCCTTAGAAAATTGGCGTTAGATATTAAAAATGATTGTCATAAAACAGTAAGTCACGAGACAATCCGAAAAGTACTCCTCCTCATTGTTGTTGGTAGTTAATATTGAGAAGCGGTTCAACTTTTCTATTACCAATATTTACAGAACTGTGGAATACTGGGATGACTTTATCTTTTGCGACGAGATATTAAGAATGTTATACCATCATGATGGACCCAGTAAAGTTTGGACTCAACATAGCTTTGCAACACAAAAATATAATTATAACCGTAAAATTTGATAAGCTTTCTGTAATGGTTTGGGGTTGAATTTTGTCGAAAGGTTATATAGGAAAGACATTGGACATTCTAAAAAACGAATTGTCAAGGAGTCCGATAAGCTTTGGATTTGTTGGCCATGAAAATCCTAATAAATTAAGGTACAAACTGTGCCAGGACAACGATCCCAAATATAAATCACTGCTGTGAAGGACGTGGCTACTATTTATTGTTTTAAAGTGATTGACACTCCTGCCCAGAGTCCCGATTTAAACGCCATAGTAAATTTATGAGCTTTTTTTTTTAAAGAAACGAGTGGGTAAACGGGGCAAAACTAATAAAAACACTCTTATTAAGGTTATTCAGGAAGAGTGGAACTAAATACCTGAAAATCGTGACATAAACAACCTTATTAAGTCCACACCCCATCGTCTTCGAGCTGTTATAGATGCAGGTTACCATCATACCAAATATTGGTACCAATACCGCTATATTTTCCAAGTTTTAATTATATTTGAAATACTTGTTAACAAAATGCAAACAATGAATTGACACGATCATATTTGCTGCCTTTGAATTTTTATATTTTTTTTATTTTTAAGTATTGAATTCTGTAATTCACTGATTCACGATGACATAAGTTGCACATTGATTGAATCATACCATAACATTTTTTACAATGCCTTGGGTATGATACGCGTGACAGCAAAGTTTGTTCCAAAACTCTTAGGTTGTGTATGGAGTCAACAACGTTGCAGAATTATTGAAACATATTACAACAATTGACGAAGTTTATGGATAAGGCTCAATCATCGTGGTGAAGGTATTCTTACTCGCCAGCACCGAGAAAGCGCAGCAAAAATGGTCGTATTTGACGGCTTTGTTTACAGTGTTCTCAGATTCAGATCAAGTGTTCCCATCACCAAGCTCAAACAGTCAATATGGAGTACTACCTAAACAAGTTCAACGCCATTCGCGTGGAGCAATCTGAAAAAATTCGCTCGGAATGGTAAGCAAAGCTCAAATGCCCAAGCTTTATTGCTTGTTCTTGAATTTTTGGCCAAAAATAATAAAGTAACGACGTCCCAGCCTCAATATTCGTGATTCCAAAAACTAAAAGCTTTAGAAGGCATTCGAACGAGTTTAAGAAATATTTCGGAAACTCGTAGACAACTAGTTAACAAAAATATATAATATACTTATATATTAGGTCGAGTAAAAAGTTCGCTCGGGTTTTACCAGTGTTACATGTCGCATCATGTCATACTATACGGCGCTGACAGTTTTTCCAAAAAACAGCCAAAGCGGCTGAAAAAATTGTTTTAGTTTATGGGCCCGATACTGTAAACGAACGTGCAGTACAAAAGTGGTTTGCTAGGTTCCGTTCCGGTAATTTCGATGTGAAAAATACACCACGCGTCGGGAAGCCTGTTGCGCTAAAATCATGAAAATAGTAGAGACAGACCGTTATGTGAGCACTTATTTAATTACTGTGGAACTTAAGTTAAGCCAGAAAACCGTTTGGAAACATGAGCGTAATCTTGGATTCAAAAAGAAGCTCGATGTTTGGGTGCCACAGGAACTAACGCAAAAAAACATGATGGACCGGCTGAATCGCGACATCGATCTGTTTCTGAAGCGGACTATGACTGGCGCTGAAAAATGAAAAATATCGAGCGTTAACTGTCGTGGTCAAAGCTAAGAGAAGCGGCGGCCCAAGACCGGACTGGCGGCCAGGAAGACTTTGTTGTGCGTTTGGTGGGATTGGCAAGGAATCATCTACTATGAGCTGCACCCCTATGACTAAACACTCAATTCGGCCCTCTACTGGCAACAAATGGACCGCCTGAAGGCAGCACTCATCCAGAAAAGGCCTTCTTCGATCTACAGAGGCCGAATTCTGCTCCATCAGGACAACGTCACCTTATAGTCCGAACCTGGCACCAAGTGATTAAAATCTTTTCCTGTCCATGGTGAGAAGTTGGCTTCATGAAAGATTCCTGTAGTATAAAATATCATCTTTTTAACGCCGTCTAGTGTAATCCAATCGCACTTATAGAATGCGAGCTACAGATCACTAAAGCCTTCTATTGCGAATATAGTACCCTGTGCTGGTTAGGAACTGAACAACACACCCGTGGTAAGGCTTGCCTGTCGTAAGAGGGGAATATTTTGCGGTTATAATAACAACATAAACATTGCAAATATATCGGATGACTTGTTTCAATATTAGTTTTTTTTTCACTTAATTTAATTGCAAGTAAGTTCTTTCCGCTATTCAACCAGTTTTTTTTATAATTGGATTAATGTCATGCATATAGATATGTTTTTAATCAGATAAGTATTTAATCCCTAGTCCTACGCTCATTAAGTATATATATACTATAATCCATTTGAGTTCTAGTAAAATGAGTTTAATATATTTTTAAGAAAATGCTAATTATTGAATCAAATTATTTTAATTAGTTAAGTCCAATTGTATCGAGTGTAAATAAACCAAATCCTAAGTGTCTTATATGTACATATGTGAGCGGTTTAAGTAAAAGTAGTGTAAGTGTGTTTTTAGAAAAAAATTATCCAGTCACAGATTTAAGTACATATATACATAAAACCAATACTTTCACAACGTCACCCAGCCTGACTATAAATACATACAATGAATTCCTTATTCCTTTCAGAGTTTTAAAATTTAACGTTAACTACGGTGCCGTCAGGCATAGCAATTAATAAATCTGGAATCGCATGCCAAAATGCAAAATTCCGTAATTTTATTTCAAGTGCGCACACATGGCATACAAAATTTTATGAATTATCGTGGAATTTTAATAACAATTTAGGGAAATTTGCCTAAAATAAAATTTTTGGTAAATTTGGTATTATACATTCATATCTGCAAATAAATATTGTCCATGAATAACATCGAAAGTGGTGATCTATATCAAATCGCCCCTCAAACCAATTTTTAAGATATGAGAATTTATGAATTTTAATCCCAAATTGGTATTACTATTGGATGAGTGCATAAGTTCGTGCCCGATTCCGCTGGATGCCATTCGAATCGTTTGAGAGTGGCGCTCGTGAGAGAAATATATACATATTATATATCGTTGGAAAGGTGACAGTCCGAACTGTAAATCAAGCATAAAATAACTTCATTTTGATTTTGCTTAGTGAAAAGACGCATGGAAGATGGACAACGAAAAAGATCATATGCGTCATATTATGTTATACGAATTCCGCAAAGGAAAAACAGTAGGCGCTGCAACTAAAGATATTCGCGAAGTTTAGTGAAAAAACAAAGTGGACCGTATGTCAACAGCAATTTCTTTGCTTCGACGGATCAAAAACGAACCTTTTTTTGGATCGACCCGTGACTGGTGATGAAAAATGGATCCCGTACAACAATGTTCAATGCAAAAGAACATGGAAACAGACTCACGAAGGGGCGGAACCGATGTCGAAAGGTGGATTGCATCCGATGAAGGTACTGCTGTGTATTTGGTGGGATATCCGAGGCGTGATCTATTTTAAGCTCTTGCCAGCTGGAGAAACGATCACTGCCAACAAGTATTGTCAGCAATTGGTCGAATTGAAGAAAGCAATTGATGAAAAACGTCCGATTTTGGCCAATCGCAAAGGAGTTCTTTTCCATCATGATTACGCCAGGCCTGGCCAAATTGAAGGAGATGAATTGGGAAATCATGCCGCATCCCTCATATTCACCCGACATTGCACCCTCTGATTATCATTTGTTTCGATCGCTGCAGAACAATTTGAATGGAAAAAAATTTAAAAATGTGGAAGACGTCAAAAACCACCTTGACACCTTTTTCAACGAGAAACCGCGCGATTTCTATGAATCAGGCATCCGTAAATTGGTTGAACGTTGGGAGTGGATTGCCGAACATGATGGCGAATACATAATTGATTAATAAAAGCGCTTTATTCAAAAAATTTCAATTTCAGTTTTGCACTTGAAATCGGGCACGAACTTATGCACTCATCCAATAAGCTCCGGTTTAAATTAATCTTTTCAAAGTTACCTTAACACATTTTTCCATACACATTGTGCATTTTTCATAAGATTTATTGATCTATAATGAAGTTTTAAAATAATTTCACGTTTGGTATTCATAAATTTAGAAATGCAAAAATAATTATTGAAGAAGAAAAAAAAGGAAAAAGGAGCATATAAAATCCTCTCGAGCGTAATATGTAAAAAACTAAAATCAACCACCAACAAACTGATTGAACCTTATCATTGTGGCTTTAGCCTTCCATTGAAAATATATTCATCATGGGCCGAATCTTGGAAAAGAACAGGGAAAGGAGGATTGCCACACACCACCTCTTCGTAGATTTTAAAGCAGCCTTCGACAGCACGAAAGGAGCTGCCTTTGCCCTATGTCTTGCCCATGTAAACTGACCTTAAGCAAAACTTAAAGCTTTATAAAGATCGGGAACGACCTCTCTTTGCCGTTGAATAACAAACGAGGTTTCAGACAAGGTAATTCCTTATAAGTGAGATTTCTTTAAGATGTTGCTGGAGAAAATAATAACAATTGCAGAACTGAATACATTATTGGCCTCAACAATCGCACCGTGAGTTCTGCTTGCTTTAGACTGCATAAGGAAGCGAAGGATATGGGTCTGGTAGTAAATGAGGGTAATACTAAATATCTCCTGCCACCAAACAAACAGTTATCACGTTCGCGAGCCAGGCTGTAAATCCAACTCAGAATCACTCTTGCCAACAGGTGCTATTTTGTACAGAGTAGGCAATTGAAATGTAAAGTCCTCTCTCGACGAACGAAAACCAAACTCTACAAGCAAATTTCCATCGTTCATATCCTGCTATAAGGTGCTGAGAGATTAACAATGATAACATCTGATGAGTTCAGCGTTAGCAGATTTCAAGAAGACCTCCACACCGTTGTAAAAACCAGCGAAGAACGACCTGGCTGTACTTGGTATCTCCTATTGGCGGCAAACAGAAAATAATGGCGTATTGTTATGAATTCTGTTATAATCGCGTAAGCGGTGTCTACGCCAGTAAAAAATAGGAATAGTTGTCAGGCAATAAGCTCTGACATATACGTATATTGCTGGCCCCTGGTTTCTACCCGAAATTTATGTTGTGACACGTATGTCAACATATCAGCGATTGTTGTGAAGCTGAGCGCTCGTTTGGGGTTAAAATCATAGTCACAAATTTTTATTTCAAATTCGCCTTTCTACAGAATATTTTTCAAAATTTTAGAGCCTGTTTTTTTATTTGTATTTTTCCTAAGCAAGAAACGCAGCAGGTAATGTGGGAATAATGGCAGGCATATTTTATTTATATTATATATACATTTTTTAAGCCAATGGTAATTTAAAAAAATTTCATATTTTAATATTGTTTATTTTATGTAAGCAAAAAGGTAAATATAATTTAAGTTCATGGGGTGTTTAATATTCTCAATAAATTTATGAAAGAAGTATCAATTTTCATTAGTTGAAATAGACAAAATAAAAAAAATAGACAAATAAAAATTAATGAAAAAATAAATAAATTCAAAAACAAAACTGATTTATAGACTTTCTTAAGCCTGGTTCCGGTAATAGCAGCGCTTTTTCAGAAGCAAGTTTTAAGGAGAGTATACTGAAATATATTCAAAAAATTTTATTTCTCCGAATTTCCGCCGAAAATATCGGTGTTTGTATTTGTTTGAATATGAAATTCCAAATTTATATTGTAAATTATCTGTTAGTTGGAGATGTCTGTACCCAACACTTCATAAAGTACTAGTCAGTCTATGGGAAAGATATAATGAAGTATCACTTCTTTCCAATAGGTGAATTACCAGAAGAGGCTTAAGAAGCAAAAATTATATTTTTATATAAGCACTTTAGTGTAAAAAAACATTAACAGAAAGTTTCAAAATTTTGGCTCTATGAACATGCTTATAGTATCTTCAGATACTCTTTTTGGTTCACATATGGGAAAGGGTCGGAAAATAAAATTTTCTTGAATTACAAATGTTTTACTAAAATAAATTATTCAAGCACACACGATATATGTATATACTATATTTTATTGTTATAGAAGTAAATATTTATACAATATAAATGAGATAAAGCAATATAATTCAAATAAAAATCAAATATAAAATTAAAATAATTTATTAAATTATATAAATATATATGAAGTAATATAAAGAGATATAAAAAATTAAAACAATTAAAATAAATTTAAATTAAAAGAAAGTAAAAAAAACTTAAATTAACAATAAAAAAATAAGACAAAATAAAAATAAAATTAATATTTACTGAAATTAAACAAAATAATAACAAAATAAAATAAATAAATTGACACTTTGTAACCGCTGAAGCGATTTCTCGCCGCGCTCCTCCCCCAATTTACGGTTTTTCGTTTTGATCTTTTTCCAACAAATAGAGAGACCTACAGTTTATACTAAGCCGTCTCTGAACGGCTGATGTTTTTTACGAGGAGTCTTTGTTTCATGTCCGAAATACACTCGGAGGGGTGGACATACCCTGCCGAAGGGAGACCGCAAATATGAAATTATACGTTATAAAATAAAATCAAATAAAATAAAATTTAATTAAAATTATATTTAATTTAATTAAATAATTTCCAAATTATTAAAACAAAATAAAATTAAATACAGTTAAATTAAAGAAAATAAAAATAAATAAAGTGCTAACGCCTTTTACTTCTTCCAAAAGAAAAAAAAAATAATGTAAGGATTTTTTTTTAATAATTATTCGTTTAGCGGTTTAATTTGTTACTTCTGCCAACACTGATTGCGTACTAAATCTTGCTTCTTGAGTGGTTAATGTAAAGGAAATACCAGGTTTAAAAAAATATATATATCATGATTGTACTTCAATATTTCTATTATAAATCATATTTAAATCTTTGCGGGAGTCAGACGGACTATCTTTTATTTTTCTTTTAATCAATCAAATAATTTCCGTCTTCCTAATTTTAGAAAATGTTTGACTTCTAAGAAAGAAAGTGAAATTATCTTAAGTATAAATCGAGCTATTGATGAGTAGAATAACACATTCTAACTTTAGCACAAAATTTTCATTATCCGGGCCAACCGTAAAAATGTTATTACGCATCCTGAAATTGCAGCCGCTCGAAAGTCATAGATTAACAAGCACTCAGAGATCCCAAAAATTAACACCGTGCGACGGCATTGTAAAACCAATTCGAAAACGAAGCACTTTTGCTATTAATATTTCTAATCCTTTTCTAAATATTTATGTTAACCATATGGTGACGATCATAACGAAAAGAACACAAGAAACCCTTTTCAATCAACACCAGTGTTTTTCATTTTAAATATAATATTATGTTTATTACATCAAGTGTTTCCTTTCTTTATTCGAGTTCTTTACTCTTTAAACGTAATAAAAACTATACGTTTTTTCATAAAATCTCACTCTTTTCATACACATTTCGAACACTTGCACACTTACGTTTTTCGGTATAATACTCTAAACTATGTGCAACACCCGCGCATGCGCACACAATTAAAAGTCCTTTAAACGCCGCTAATGTGCGTAAGTTGACGCTATTGTACAGCATTGTTGTTAAGTTTACACGAATAAATGTACAACAACAACAACCACAAAAAACAGGTGATGTTTTCCACCAAATTAAACGACACGAACAACTTGTTAACTTTCAACCAAGTACTTATTTGTATGTATGTGTATTTAGTAGCGTTTTAGTAGCAGCGAGGAGATGTTAAACACGACTGTGGTTAATCTCGAAATGCTGCGGCATTTTTATAAACTCAATAATTACAATTTATTAACTTAACTGCTATGCTATTACTCGCACTTAGGTAGTACGTACATACCTATTTAGTCACTTGCATACTTGTCAAGCCACTTATGTAGTTACTTAGTTAGCCGGCCGGACCGTCACCTCGCCCGAACGCTCGCTCGCCGGTGCTGTTGATGTGCAAAGGTTAACAGCAAGTATTTTACAGATGTGGAAATAAATAAAAGTAGATAAACACACGACATTTATTATTTTAGAATATAAATATATATATATATGGAATATAAAAAATTCTCTCGTTTTGTTTGTTTTTGACTAACTGGCGAGGCAGAATGTTGTTTTTTATTTTTAATTTCTTTTCGTTTTAAACGCATTTTACTTTTAATTTCATTAACTAATGTTAAATCAATTGCTTTTATTTACTTGATATTGACTTGTGGGTTGGTGGGGAAATTCAATACAAATAGTAATACGAGTATGACACATTATACCCACATACTTACAGATATAGACAGCATGTTACATAAAGGGTAATGCAATTCGGGTGTCTACTTTTTTAAAGAAAAAACACAGAATGTTTGAATTTTATGGAAAATGTTTATTATCATTCGAAAGAAAATTCTTTGACATTTATTTTGAAGATTATCTCTTTCAAATATTGGCAGCTGCTACATCTTTCAGAAGGTCCAACCGTTGAGTCCAATTTTTGATGACTTGTTCGAGCACTTCGACTGGTAACTGACGAATGATATGCGAGATGCTTTGCTCCACCACCTGAATCGAAGCGGAATTGTAGGCATAGACTTTATACTTTACATATCCCCACAGGAAAAAGTCTGAGAGTATGATATTACACGATTTTGGTGTACAAAGGATCGGCGCAAATCGTGAAATCATCCACACACCGAAGTGTTCTCTCAATAAATCCCTTTATTGATGCGTTCTCTAGGAAGTAGCGACGTCTTGTCACAACCAAATGTCGCCGCGTTCCCGTGCTTTAATATCAGGTATAAAATAGTCGGTTATCATGGCGCGATAACGGTCGCCATTGACAGTTACGTTCTCACCTTCACCATTTTTGAACTTGGTCTATTCGGTCGAATTTGATTCAATAATAAATGCTGAGTCTCAAGATGGGTGGGATGGTGTTGCGAATACTACGCTCAGTAGGACGATTATGTTGACCATAAGTTAAGCGAAGCGCGCGAAATACATTCTTTACAGAACGTGAATTTTCGTAATAAAGTTGAACGATTTGTAAACCTTGCTGAGGCATAAGTCTTGCCTTGATGAAATGTCAAACAATACCGAACAAAAATAACATGAAAGCTTGACACGACGCACGCGTGATCCGTTTACTTGGATCACCCATTATATGTGCATAATTAGGTAGTTTATAGCGGAAAGTTTTAGTAAAGCTTATTGTTTACATTTTAGTAGAATGCCCCTGCCATTTTACGATTTGACTTTCATTGCATTTATGTGGTTTTTTTTATGCTTATTGCAGTGAGGAATCTGGATAGTTTGCTTTAAAAAATATATATATTTATACCCAAATAGCTGACCCGCCAGACCTTGCTGTGGCTTTCTGTATTGTGTCCGATTTTTGTTCCAACTGGTATTGCAAATAACAATATAAACTCAAATTAAGCATTATTTACGTTAAAATATTAATATTTTTACTAGCTTCCTTCGAAGCAAGCCAAATGAACCATTCGGATCGATGAGGCCGATTTCTATTCACATTTAAGTTAAACGTATAAGCACCGGCCGAAAGTACCCAAACACGATCTATGCTTATACCTAATCGTACTAATTTGTATTAATCTGTCGGTGTTGCCTTTCCAGTAAAGAAAGTATAATTTTTTTGTCGAACAAAACGAACTGGGTTTCAGGTCTTTGTTGCAAAAATATTTTATTTAGGCATACCATCCAAAAATTTAACTTAAATGCAAATATGTACATCTATTTACTTCCCGTATAAAGAAAGAATTTCTATCTGAGTCATCTATGAACCGAATTTCAAGTAAAACGGACAAAAAATTTGTATTTTTCGGAAAACCTCTAGTCAACTTCGCGGAGCTAAAAGCAGTCCCACTACTACTAAGCACAAGGTCACTTTTGTAACAAATATGATTTTTTCAGAGAGAGGCAGAGTCTTCCTGGTAATCTAAGCAAAAAGCCACTTAGCACTGAATCTCAAGAAAATAAGACCATAAATTATGGTCCCGTTTCAGAAATTTCTAAAATGCAATTTCTCGAATAAGTTCACTACTCGGTGAGAAGAGGAGTCTTCCTGTAAGTCTAAGGAAAATGTCATCTTGTACATTCAAGGAAATCGATAAATAAGATTTTCTCGATAGGTGAATTCCTGGTCCACTTTCCGAAGTTTTTCAGCATCCGTAGAAAAAATCTTACAAAATTTCAAGGCAATCAGTCTGTAAGTTTTCGAGATATGCGGATCTTCACAAACGAACATAAGATTTAAAATAAAGGGTTTCCAATAACAAGGTTATTTTGATATTAAAAGAAGAACGCCAATTAATAATGAAAATTAAAATCAACCAAATGGCCACCACGGTTACGCTTAGTCGTACAGGCCCGTATCCATCGTCATCATCATTTCTCAACACCAAATAGCAAAGTGGCTGCTGTATGCCCTCAAAAGCTTTAAGAATTCAATTTTTGTGGTCTTGATTCGACGTTAACCCATTGGCGTGCACCCAAATATACAAAGTCGCAGGGTGGTGAACCACAAGATCTCGGTATCTAAATTCGATCATCTCGTCGAGAGTTAGTGAGTCCGGAAACTTTTCTCCTAAAGGATTCGTTGCTTGTGTAGCATGTAGCGCCGTCCAGATCAATACCAATCAGTTTCGGCCATTATAATTCATTAATCATCTCATCTCAGTTCATTCACCGTAACTGTTGCTTCAGCCTTAATTTCAAAAAAGTAGGTCGGTATGACCTCGCCGAACCATAAACCGCTCCAAACAGTTACAAGTGAGGATGGCTTTTCAACAATAAATCTTGGGTTTTCTGAGCCTCAGAAGATGCGACAGTTTTGCTTTTTGACGTAGCCATCGAGGCGGAAATGGCTCTTATCAGTCAAACTGATTTTTCAGGGAAATCTGGATCATTTTAATGCATATCAACTACCCAATCAGTAAAAAGACGACGTCGTTGTTGATTTTCGGGCGATTTGAAGTTTTGTGTTGAACTTTATAAGTCTTACTATCCATGCAAAACGCGGCGTACTGACGTTTGGACAAACTTCGGGTTTCTTTAACACTTTGGGCTACAACAGCAATATTCTGTATTGCGGTCCGTCAAGGTGCATCACGACGATGTAAATATGTTTTACTTTTATGAACTGTTTCATCCAGGTTTTCACAATTTTTATCGTGAGTTTTGCCTTGTTGAAGCGCGTGTCGTTTTATTTTTTATTGCTGGCGTAGTTTCTACTTGTCAAATGTCTAAACATTACAGTTTCAAAAATGCCATCTACCAGAATAGCAGGCTTTTCAAAATTACACCTCTTATTGGGAAGCCCTTTACTTATTCTACTGAATATAATACGGCAGTCTTTAGTAAACACGAGGGAGCGAAGGCAGCAAAATGGTTATATTTTTCAGAACTTTCAATTATTTTTTTTTATTCTCTTAAAACAAGGCAGACTTTATCATCGGTAATAAATTTGTTACAGCTCTTTTCATTTTTGAGAACACATAATAATCACTCGGAACCAGTTCTGCCTGTCCGATGTGGCCAGTGCTCAAAAAATCTATGAAAAAATTAGACTGGAAGACCTGATTATTATTATCGGTGCTACGTAGTAATTACCATCGCCCAGAGTATATAGTAGGAGCATATTTCTTCTGTCTACTAAATGACAGTGAAAGACAGATGGTAAACACGACGTCGATGATGGTGGGAAGGGAGTTTATTTTTACAAGGAAATACGAATTGATCGACTGTCCGCTTAATGAATATCACCGCCACGAGCTTACCCTCTGAGTTATTCAATTATGGCGCCAAATAACTGACTAGATGCATGTAGAAGCTCTTTTATAAATTATATTCATATGAAAGCATGTCCGACAGTTGGAAACTATGTACGTACGCACTGCCCAACTCATAAAAGGCTGCCTGCGACTGCAGGAAAAGGTGCTGCCTTGGCCGCTATGTCTGAATTTGGTACCCATTGGCGTAAACGACTGCGCAGTTAGTTCTAATTTCGTCAGATTTGACAAGGAGGCGAAGCAAATGGGTTGGGCAGTGCACGAAGGCAAGACGAAATATCTCCTGTCATTAAATAAACTGGCAGCGCACGTGGCCCACACGTCACTGTTGACGGCCATAACTCTACTTAAATAACTATTTATAATTGCCATGTGGTTTTCAAACAGGTAATATAAATATTAAATTTATATGCAATTAAATTTATTTGCCTGTATTTACATATATTTGTGTACTCACTTGAATTTGTATTTATTTGCATTTCCATTTCTATTTCTATTTTTATTTCTTTTTCTCAATTTATTACCGTTACTCAGTTGAAATTGTTACGTCCACTAAAAATGCATATATGTATGTATTCTGCACTTTAATTAGACAAACAAAAAACTATTCAAATCGAATTAAATAAATCAATTACTAATTGTTTTGCTAAGGCGTAAATATGTTTTTTATTTAAAAAAAAAGAATAAAATAAAAAAATTAAATAAATTACTCACTATCGCAAACACGATCTTTGAGAAAAACTTGGTTAAGGTCACGGTTACAACACAATATGTATAAACAAATATTATATGTATGAGTATTTATCCGCGCGCACTCACTCCTCATCTGCTTTATCTGTATCGTCAAGACAACAATTACAAGATCATGGAAACTTGAATCGTCTTGACAGTCAACTCAACTTCACTCATCTATAATTATTAATGTATGCGAATAATTTTATATTTATTTAACTTGATTTTTGCAATATAGTAAATATGTTAATAATTAATATTATTAAAAGTTTGTGATATATAAATAATGAATATATTTTAAAATTCTTGCATTCAATTTACAATTGACTTAGTAAAAACTAATCCATTAATTTTACTATAGTGAACTGTAACTCGAGTTCTATAAGTACGATTGGATTACACTAGATTGCCTATATACCTGTATATTATATATTTGGCGCTCTATATCCCCTGATTGCCGAGTAAGGCCATCATACAAGGTGCGTTCCAAAGTAAATATACCTTCTTCAATCTAGCGCTCTTTAGCGGCGCCATCTATACGCCGACTAGTGCGTTAGAATTTGCTATGCCTAATCGACTTCCAGTAAAAATTTCGAGACATTTCATCTATTGGAAGTGAAGTTGTGGCGTTTTAAATGTCAGTATGTTTTTGTCATTGGTGCAAAAATAAGCTTCTAACAAAGAGCCAAAAAGCCTAAATATTGTTTTAAAATTGGTAAAACTTTTACCGAAACATTTCAATTGATGAAACAAGTTTATGGTGCGCCGTATTCGACGTGTTTGACTCGAATATCGCGAAGATAGAATTTGACGTTTGTTTTACGATAGTGCGCCGTCTCATCGATCGACGCTTGTGGCCGATTATTTGACCAAAAATCACATTTTAACAATCAACCGCTCCCCGTATTCACCTGATATGGCACCGTGCGACTTCTACCTTTTCAGAAAAATACATTTACCGATGAAAGGAAAGCGTTATGCAGACGTGGAGGCCATTCAAAAGTCTTGCACCGGCATACTGGCGGTCACACCGGGCAACGAGCTAAAATACTCGTTCGACATGCTTTTGGACCGTGTAAAAAGCTGTTTTAAAGCAGAAGAAGACTAACCATTTGTTTTGTCTTTTTTTTAAGTCCTGTTTACTTTAGAACGCACCTTGTATAAGCACTGTTTCGACTGCCTAAGAGTTAAAGATTGCACAAAAACCCATTCGAACCCTTAGACTGGTACGAAAAGAAGCTCGATGTATGAGTACCACACGAGTTAACGAAAAAAAAACTTCATGGTAAGAATTTCCAATCGCATAGTGCTGCTCAGCTCTAACAAAAACGTTTTATTTATGAGGCAGATGGTCACTAGTGATGAAAGGTGGATCTCTTACAGAGCATTAAACGAAAGGCAGTGAACTGGCACAAACAGTGATGGCCAGGAAGGTTTTGTTGATGGGAGTGGCACGGAATCATTTACCATGAATAAAAGGAAGAAATTGCCCAGAAGCGTTCAGATTTGGTCAATGCTAGGAAATTGTATTTAATCAGGACAACAGCAGGATACCCACATCGTTAGTGACTCGCCAAAAGCTCCAGTAGCTTAATTGAGAGGTTCTTGTTCGTCTATCAAGTGCTTATTGTCTATGGCGAAAGATTTAACTGGAGAAGAATTGGCTTTCAGAGAAGCTTGTGAAAATTGTTTATGCCAAGTTTTTGTTAATAGAGAAAGTGAATTATATGAGAGGAGAATAATGACATTATCTTTAAGCAAAAAGCAAAAAGTCGGATAATTCTAACTTTGATATAGAAAATCTTCAATTCAATGCAAAAATAATAGCTGACTTTTTGCTTGAACTCATATAAAAGGGAGTGAAGTTAAGTTGGGATTCATTTAAGCCTGACTAAAACTCATTGTGATACCACAAGAACTTGACCATCAGGCTTCATTATTCAACCAATTTGATTCTCTTTGACTTTGATTGCAGCTATCTTCGTAGAATATAGAATTCCGACATTCCGAGTTGTAACTCTGCCCAAAGCAAGACAGTCGCATAAGAGACGGGTGATCGTTTCTTCCTCTTCATCATTCATGCGGCTTCGGCAGCATCTTCTATAGGTAGCCTCTAGTCTTTCCGCGTATCGTCTTATTCGGCGGTGGCCTGTCGGAACGATGCTTTTGGAAAAAAATCAGTAGTAATATTATGTGTATAGTTCAGTTTAGCCCAATTTTGAATTGAAAACAAATACAAAAGTTATTGTAATTATTCTTACAAAAAAAAAACTGGTTATTTATTAACGTTTTCTTCATGTTGTAATGTCTTCCTTACATCTATGTATAATTTAAAATATAGTTAATTATTTGCCAGAGCTCTTCTTGTTGCCGTATAACTGCTCTGGCGTGGGTATATCTTCGACAAAGAAATTCGCTGGTATCAAACTGAAAACCTTATGCATTATGTCATAGAGTATAGTCTCAACAGTTTCGATGATAATCGGTTTGAGTGCTTCATAGAAGTCACGCCAATTCTCATTGAAGAACTCGTTTGTGCTGCGTTCCACTTCCTTACTTTGTCCATTGAAAATATTTTCGAAGTTTGTTTGGACACGTGTCATATTCAAGTCTACGCGAACGGCGGTGACATTATCGAAAGTGTAACCAGCCTTTTGATATAGACGTGTCTTCGTATACAGGATGATATCAAGATTATCTGTGAAAGAAAAGTTAAAATTTATAAAATAAGTTTAAATAAAAGGACATTTATTTATAGAACTATGAAGAGTGTGGTTAGATTATCCAAGATCCAAATCCAAAATTATGAAAGACAAAATTTTAATTAATGCTGTTGTTGTGGTAACCGCAAAATCATTCCCGAAAGTACTTTTCGGGGAATTTTGCGGGAGTGACAGTCCCTGGCCGAATAAAAATCCGTGTCGTTCCGGTATAAAGACCCGACTGTCGTGGGAACTATTGGATTTTAGTCGCCTCTTATGACAGGCATGCCTTACCGTGGGTAAATTTTTGAACCCCTAACCGCAGGGGCAATGGTCACTATCGATAGCGAATGCCAGCTCAGCCGAGTGTTGAGAGGAAATAAAAATCCCTTCATAAAATCCCATAAACCGCACGGAGACGACTTCGAATATATTGTAGGCCTCTCCATTTGTACAATGTAAATTTAAGGAGTAGCTTGACTGAAAATCAGTTCATTGTTACTCTAACAATTTCAAAACGCCAGATGGTTATGCTAAACGAAAAATCTTATTATGAAAAATAGAGTATTTTTGGCTAAACTCATTATTTTAATAATTTCATTGTGTTGTTGAAGCATGTATAGCTTTATTTTTAGCGTGGTTTTTACTTGAAAATATCAAAAAAATATAGCTTAAAAAGTGACATCCACCTGAATAGCAGGCAATTGAGATAACACCTATACGAGTATATAATATATAATTGGCGCTTTGTAACCGCTGAAGCGATTTTCGGCCGAACTTCTACCCCAATTTGTGGTTTTGCGTCGTGATGGTTTTCAACAAATGTAGGGACCTACAGTTTATGCTAAGCCGCCTCCGAACGGTTGATAGTTTTTTTTTTTACGAGGAGTTTTTATTTCATGTCCGAAATACACCCGGAGGGGTTAACATTCTCTGCCGAGAGGCGACCGCAATTAGAAAATTTAGCTTAATTTTTTATTTATAATAATATTCTCTAAGTTTTTTTTGGATGTTAGTACGGCAACTAGGATTTGAGAACGAGCCTTCCGAATGGTAGTACGTAACGTATCCCAACAATATATACAGCAAGTTTTGATGTAAAAGATCCCTTTCGAACTAGTAGTATATAATAAATATCTGTAATTACTCCTCCATTTTGGGTATGTTTTAACGGTGTATTTTAATTATACATAATCACATGTTGGTTGGGAAAGCAGTGCTCTGCAGGTCCAAGGATATCAAAAATATTTGTCTGACATCCTTGAAAATTCAAATAATTTTCTATCCCCGAAACATGGAATATAGATAAATTAATAAATGAGGTACAACCGCACATTTTTGGCAAAGATTGAAAAACAAGAATCAATTTATTCATTTAATTAAGACAAAAATTGAAATGGCGACAAAAGAACAGGTAGGGAATCAAGTGTGTATGTTGAAAAAAACGCGTTTGGTCAAAAATGGAGCGAATCCTTTAATATGTTTGATGGGTTTTTCCCGTCGATACTACGTATATATGAAGCTATGGTTTGGTAGCGCGTGAATTCTAGTTCCTTCCTACAGCAAGCTCGTGGAGATTACATATCAAGCAGCAATATTAAAAAGTGTGGTTTCAGGCAGATTACAAATCAAAGAAAAAGTACATAAATCCAACCTTCAGGAGGTCACTTTGTAAAGTCAGAACCGTAGATTAAATAATTCCTTTACATATAAACAATGTGCGTAATGAACAACTTCTAAGTCTAGCATAAATAGCCTAAACTAAAGAATAAACGACAAGGTTACACTGTTGCATATGAATTTTCGTATCAAATAGTGTTCCGAGCAATATATATTGCTCACTTTTCTTTATGTTATCAATTATTTTTTACTGTATTATATAATCAGTTAGTCTTCTAATGAATATGCATTCAATGCTATGTAATCCTTACCGATTTCTATGAACATTTTACCAGCACCTCTTAGAGGTATCAACAAAATTCGTCCTTCCATTTTGTACTTGGCATCTAAACGCATTTTTGGTAGAAAAATTTTCGTAACCCAGCTGAAATCTTTTTTGCTAACCCTGGGAAAAGAGAAATGCATTAAAAAATATTTTAAAATTTTACACGATTAAAATGGGAGATTTTCAAAAAAGAGAAGAAATTTGCTTTGGGATAAATAAATAGTAAAAAGCCGTAAACTATTCTTGCAATAGAGGGATTTAGTGATATATTTCTCACTGTTCTACAAGCGTGATTGGATTAACTAGATGGCGTTAAAAAATTGATATTTTATAATAAAAAAATAGTAAGAGAAGTGTTGATCCCTTCACTCAGAATTTTGTGAGCCTCTGGCAAAGATGGACCCCATCAAAGAGAAAGACCCCATACATTCTTAAAATCTTCTTCGATGAAGGCAAAAACCAAAAAGTCAGATAGCTGAATGGTCCTAATACTAAAACAATCAATCATGCACATTTTCGCTTTCGTCGATTTCATTTTGGATGCAAAAGATGTTACACTGGTGTAGAGGCCAATTGTCGAAGGTCAGGCGAGAAAAGGCCAATTGAAGGGCGCCTCAAAAGGATAATCGAAAAATCTATCAGACCGTTGACAGAAAACCAGTGACCAGATTGCCCTGAGCCCGAGACTGATCGCGGAAGGTAACACTTTTATATATACGTGGAAGTGAAACATGGTAACAAAACCAATAGCCATAACACAACACTGGTCAAAAGATTGGAAGCGAACCCACGTACAAAAACGGGTAGCCTTTGCCGACCGCTACACAGCTTCAATAAGTCAAACTAAAACTTAATATCTTAAGTGACGGAAAAATTGAAACACGAGGTCTGACAATTAAGTAATGATACTGATTATATTGCCACGATTGTGGTAACCTTCTGACTTTAAAATTCCCTCTCAAATTGGGCGACACAGCTTCGGAAACGTACGCTAGAATTTCAACACGACCCGGAAACCAAACGCCAAAGCTCACAAAGGTTGTCTTCGCACGACCCCCCCCCCCCCCAGGGCGCGCCCAAACATCGCTCGTAACTGGCTCTTTCATCACGACAACGCGCCGTGCCACACTGCCCTCAGCTTGCCCCAGTATTTGGCCTCTAAAGAGATCGTCGTGTTGCAACAACTGTCTTATTCGCCCGATATACCATCCTGTTACTTTTGTTTGTTCCATAGAACCCATTCCGAGTCGATTGAGGACATCCAGGCGGCCGTGACGAGGGTATTCGCGGGCATTCCAGTCGAAGTGTTCCAGAAATGTTACGAAGTATGTATAATGATTCCATTGTCTAGCTGCCCAAGGGAAATGCTTTGAAGGGGGTGGCAGGGTTGTACAATAATTTTGAAATATACGGTTTTTACGGAATGAGACTCATTACTTAATTGTCACACCTCGTAAGTTAATCGGAATATAAAATTAAAATTAATATTTATATTATATTATATTTATTATAATTAACAGTTAATTAGTTAGTGATAAAATCTTAAGTTTGAATAAAAGCATTTGAAGCAAAAAAAAAGCGTCTTGATGTTTTCCAACAAATGGAGGGACCTACAGTTTATACTAAGCCGCCTCCGAATGGTGGAGCTTTACAAGGAGCCTTCATTTCATGTCAGAAAAACACTCGGAGGGGTTGACATAGAAAATTTAACTGAATTTTTTATTAAAATTAATTTTCTATAGCTTTTGAATGTTGGTCGCACGGGGATTTGAAACCGAGCCTGCCGAATGGCAGTACGCAGTGCTAACCATCATAAAATAGTCTAAAGGTGTTAAATCCGGTCCCGAACGTGAAATAAAATGTTCATCGAACTCGCCTCTCAATAATTCCATTGTTACGCGTGCTGGGTGGCATGTGACACCGTCTTGCTGAAGTCACATGTCAAGCGAGTCAAGCTCTTCACTCCAATATCGACAATTCTGCTTATTTACGCTCCCATTAAGCCAAGATTGAGCTTCGTCGCTGTACACAATTTATTTTTTGAACTTTTTTTTTTAACAGATCACGCATTTTGATAATAAAATTTAACAATTTGCCATGGTTGTTCGTTGGTAAGACGATTCATGGTTAAATTATACACCAAACTGTAGATGTTTGACAGTAATACAAAATAAGAAACGTGCATCAGCTGTTTAAACCAGTGTTACCAAAGAAGAAAGAGCTAAAAAATCACCCTTTATATGATTCTTTCCACAAAGATGGGAATACATTTTGCTTTAAAGAAGCATTGAATATGTTTCTGAATGATATACATAGAAATTCATAGATGATGAAAACCCAAAAGTCTTATGTTTCAAGTCAACAAAACTATAGAATGGCTTGGGACTTTAAGTAATATCATTTCGTGTTCTTTTCATGTGTGTACTTCTTCTACTGAGATTGGTAAGCAACCATTCACTATGAGCTACTCTTCTAACGCTAAATTCTTAATACATCCCTTCGAGGGAAGCAATCGCCCAGAAGCGGCTAGCTTTAGCTAACAGAAGGGGAAGTGTGTTACATCAGGACTACGCTAGACCATACACATCGATAGTGACTAGCCTGAAGCTTCAATAACTTGGTTGAGATATTATTATGTATCCACTTAATAGTACGGAACTCCGCACAAAGTGATTACCATCTGTTTCTGTCTATGGCAAATGATTTAATTGGTGCAGAATTGGCCTAAAAAGAAAAGTCTGGGAATTGTGACTGTCCAAATTTTTGGCCAATACGCTAAAGACAAAATTTCTATGAGAGACACAATGAATTAACCTTCAAAAGGGCTTAAAATTATCAAGCAAAATGGTGCATATTTGTGACGTAAAGCGGACAATTTCAGCAATGTCAAATAAAGCCTTCAGCTTAGTATAAAAATAATGGCTTACCTTTCACTAGACCCATTTTTATTGTACAGCTGAACAAATCATCAAAGGCTTTGATGAACTTTAAATTCAATATAATTATATTTACCCTTAGTAGTACATACATATACACATTCAACTAACCTGCTTTCTTTAATCACAGTCTTCGAGAAGCCTTTTACAATAACCTCACTCAAGTTGGCGCGCACCGTAGCGACATCGTTATTATCCTGTTTGAAATATATATCATGTACGTGCATTGGATCAAAGGTACCAAACTCTTTCACCACCTCGGGTATGCCTGAAATATGATAATTTTATTAAAAAATTTTTACTAAATTACAGCAGAAACATACCTATCACCAATTGATCAATCAGTTTTTGCACAGTATTTGTTGAACATTTTGTAAAACCAGGCTGATAGATTTTGCATGAGGGCAGGAAAGCAGCTATGTATTAACGTAGAAACGAACAAAAAATTAATGTGATTTTTTGTAATTATTTTTATAACTTTTTTCATATTGTGCCACTTATTAAATATTTTCTATATTTGTATTTGTATTTATTTTGATTTAAACAATTTTTTTATTCACTAACTCACGTTTTTCAGTATAGAACTCAACACTTTTAACCTCATTCACACAGTTCACCGCAATTAAGCCGCAAATAAATGTGATTTTTCTAAACAAACATGAAGACTTTTTAGAACTTTGCAACATTTTTTTTTTGTTACAGCGTTGGAATAATATTCAGCGGCAAATCGGTGTGGCGACCGCTTGTTATGGCGGCATGTAAACAAATGAGCGCGTAACTTGGTTCCAAAGTGGTTTTATAGCATTTAGAATAAATAGTTGAATTAAAATAAAGAATATACATATATAATTAAAGCAAGGTGCACTTAAGAAGTTTCGCTCAGGTATGACGTCTTTGAAGGTGTAAAACGTATAATCATTGACGGGAAAAACAAGTTTTCTTCAATTAAGAATTTTCTTACAACTCACATGAAAGTGCTGATTAAAAACTAAATTTAAATGTGGAGCGAAGTGTTTAGTAACAAAGCCGTGGGTGTTTGAGCAGATTATTTATAGCAGGCTGATCTGTAATGTATGTAGTTAACGGTGTTATAATTTAATTGAAATTTCAATCTTGATACTCAATCAAAATTCATTAGCTGGCTTTTACTATTCAATGTCACTCATACGCCATGGCGCGTTTTCTGAGACGTTTTCACCTAATCATTGGCATGGGCACCACTTGCGCCATTTTAACCGATACAAGATCAACTCGGCAGATGATCCTTTTTTCGCTGTTTGGCGTCAGTTGGAAATATCAAGACAAATCATGGCGCTCTTCACCTGAGTTGTGGAGGTCTTCCTCTTCTCCAATACCCACCAGCGGATATTGCAGCGTGCCTTCAAACATTTGGACGACTTGAGCTGACCAAAGAGGCTGCTGTATATTGATTCGGTGAACTGCTATGTCAATATCATCATATATCTCGTAAAGTTCATCGTTCCAATATGTAAGGGACCATACATCGTTGGTAAAACATTTCTGTCGAAGCCTCCAAAGGTCGACTCAACGGATGTAGACATCCTCCACGCTTCAGCGCCTTATAGTTGGAAGGAAATGAGTAGTGATTTGTAGAGTTTGGTCGAGAGAGGACTTTACTTTCCAATTGCCTACTCAGTTCAATATTACACGTGTTAGCGGAAAATGCTTGTCCTTAGATAGACGAAATTATCGGCAACATCGAAGTTATACTTGTGAGCAGTGACATAACAGCCTAGTCGCGCATGCGATGACTATTTGTTTGATGACAGAAGATATTTCGTATTGCCCTCCTTTACTACCAGACCCACTCACTTAGCAAGTGTGGAAAAAACAGAGCCCACAGCGCGGTTGTTAAGGCCAATAATGTCAATATCATGGGCGTACGCCAGCAGCCGTACACTCTTATAAAATATTGTACCTTCTCTATTCAGCTCTGCAGTTTGTATTTATCCAGAAATAAATTAAAGATCATAAGAAAACACCCTGCCTAAAACCTCGTTTGGTATCTTGACGGAACTTTTAGTTTTGGTTAAGTTTACGTAGACGTAAAAGTTTTGCGGGAATACCAAAATTAGATATGGCGGCGTAGATGAAGCTCCTTACTATGCTGTCGACGGCTGCAGATGTTGTGTATCTCTTCTTTCCTCACGGTCTTTTCCAAGATTTGACGCATGGTTAATAACTGGTCAATAGTGGGTTTACAAGGTCTCAAGCCACATTGATAAGATCTAATCAGTTTGTTAACAGTAGGCTTTAGCCTTTCACACAATACGATCGATGGAACCTTTACGTGATATTTAGGTGGTACGATAATCGGCGCAAAGCGTGGGGCTCATCTTTTTTTTTAATTGAGCGGAGCACACTTAGATTGCATTCGTCGGGCATGCTTTCGTAATACTATCTTCTGCAAAGAAGCTGATGCATGCTCTTGTCAGCTCTTCACCACCATGTTCAAATGCTCTGCCGGTATGCCATCGGCTCAAGCCGTTTTGTTTGTTTATTATCATTAATTTCGGTTCCGGTTTTGGGTTTCGGATTCGGGTTTCGGGTTCACCATATCGGGATGGTACATTTTCACTGCTATTAAGCAGACTGCAGAAATGTTCTCTCCATACACCAAATATTCTGTGGATATCCGTCAGTAAATTTCCGTATTGGCACCTACATGAGAATGCTTCGGTCTTGAAGCCTATTAATAGTATAAAAACTAACTATGTAATGAATTGCATATTCTTCAGATTAAATAAAAAATTCGACTGACGGTAAGTAATCTATTAATCTCCGAAAATTTAGAAATTAACATTAAGAACATTATGATATTTGTGAGAAATTCTCCAAAGTGTGTTTAGTATTTTTCATTAAAAAAGCTTGAGACATTTAATATCTTTTTTTTGTTGTCAGAATTAATATTCATTCGAGTTCATTGACCTTTGCTGAACTACGAAGATTAATTATTATATACACTTAACAGTTGAAAAAAAAGTAATGAACTACAAACACTGGCCAACAGCTTTGAGAGTTTTTTGTCTCATGAAAACTTATATCAAAGTTTGTCTTTATTAAATTCATCAGGTTTTATTGTGACATCAAAATTGCTATTTTCCAACAAAAAAAGGTCAAAAAACTGCATATAGAAATATTTTCTTACTTAATTTATTAAAAATGTTTAAGATTTTCACGAACACTATGCAAACACTGTTAGGTCTCTTCCAAGTCTACAAACATAAATTGCAAGAATTCCTGAACTTCGGCTCTCAAATTTGTCTAAAAGAACTGCAAGCGAGAGTCCCAAAGCTTTACGTGAGATTATTATTTCATACATTAGTTCTCTAAAGTTTCTGATTTATGGAGTCCAATAAAGATCGGCACAACAATCACAAAACATTGCGAGGCAATTCCATTCTGATCATTCGGTTTTTCTTCAAATGTGTGGATCTACAAATATTCCATCTCTAATTTGAGTCCCTATCTGAAATATCATGCTTACTTAGGATTTTTCACTAGAAGATGGCCTTTAGTGAAGGCCATAAACAAAAATCTTCACAAGGTTCGTTTGATAATCACAATGTTTTCCAGTGAGATTTACTCGTACGTAGGTATATGTAGACGTTGAGTTCTCCTAAAAAGAGATATATAAACATTAGTATATGTATAGATATGTAGATGAAATTGTATGTATGTACGTGGATATATTTACATAAATGCATAACTTTTAATTGCAGGTAAGACATATTTGTTAGCTTTGTTTTTTTTTAAGCCTATGAACTTTAAAAGGTGTAGCATATCTTTAGGCATTATAATATTTTGTCTTTTATATCATGCGATATTTTTTCTTGGCAGTTGGTTATATCTAATATAGGTTGTCAGTTGTGCCATTTGTATTAAATGTATAAATGTTTAGTTTAAATTTGTGGAAAGTTCACACTTCTTTGGAGTTACTATAGAGCGATATAACATCAATGGAAATTTTTATACATAAAAACTTCATTCCTCATTCATTCGGGCATTAAACTAAATAAGTCATAAAAATCTTACAATTAAGTGTTTAAAAATGTTGTGTAATAAAATAAATAATAAAATAATCTAACTTGAAATGTATTTGCAGTTAATGGAATTAAATAGCCTGAAATTACAAAAATTTGTGAAGCAGTGTTGCCATATGCTCAAAATTATTTATTCAGATAAATTTAACAAATATTTAACACCGGCATAAAATGGTTTTAAGACTCTATGAAATATATTAAATGCAGAGTTGCCATGTGTTAACTCCAGTCCGGGAGCTAAAAAGCTTAAAAATGTTCAGATTTGAAGTTTATTGCAGTGACGTCAGGGAATTGAGATATTATTTTTCAGAGAAACTGCATTTGATAAAATTTACGAATAGGGTTGCCACCTTAAAATTAGTTTAACATTCTTCTGGTAATGAAATTGCTAAAAAAAGAGAAATGTTATTACTTATATTGGTAGAACGTTGAAGGAACTTGAAAAGATTAAAGTCGAACGAGCACAATCGTATGCTGAGTTGCCACCTATTTTATAATTCATTTAAATTTAAATTGCGAAAATGGAAAAAAGTATGGCTATCGAATAAACGAGATTATATTTTTTATTATTATGTATAATTGATGTTTCTCAATTTGATGTTTTCCAACAAATGGAGGAACCTACAGTTTATACTGAGCTGCCTCCGAATGGCCGATGGATTATTGTGAGGTGATTTTATTTCATGTCAGATAGAAATACAATCAAAGAGCTTGACATTTTCCGCCTAGGGGCGACACCAACTAGAAAAATTAATTTTCTATAATTTTCGATTTTGATCGAACCAGGTCTCGAGCCCTGGCCCACAGAATGGCTATACTGAATGCCAACTGCTTGGCTATTGCATACGCCATGTGAATAAATAATACCAAATTTCATGATTTGATATACTTTTTTGGCGGATTTTTCACGAATTCATAATTCCCTCATAATGGTATAAATGAGCGTGTATATCTTCTCCTTCTGGTACTTACATACTTGGGACCAAAGATTATATATCATTTCATGTTAATGAAAGGCCCAGATTCTGCAGGTAAGAGTAGTATTCCTGCTAATCTAAGCAAGAAAGCCACCTGTGTACCGGATATCAAGTACATCAAATCATAAGTTAGAATAGTTTGGTTCCTGGTCGGCTTTCCGAAGAGAAGAATAGTAGATCGAATCATGAATAGAGTTTATTAAGTAGGCCAATTCCTGTTTTACTTCCGTAAAAATAAAATTTTCAAACAAACCTTTGCAGGACCCATAAGAACAAACTGACAATTTTTAACTATAAATAAATAAAATCGTGGTAATTATTGCGTGTATGCATTAATTCGTGCGGTTTTTTTTTTTCGAAAATTAAGACTTTATTGTGAAAAAATTTTTATGCATTTAATGTTCAAAGTATTGCCCATCGGAAGCTACGATGTTTGCCCATATTTCTGACATTTTGTGGATCCCATCCCATCATCTCCGGCTGGAGGTCAAGAAAAAATCGAGCCAATTTCTGATACCCTGTTCTGAAGTGAAGCGTACTCTGGTGAGGGAATTCTGCATGGATCTGAACAAGTGGTAATCGAAAGGTGCTATGTCTGCGCTATAAGGCGGGTGATGTAGAATTTCACACCCAGAGTTTTCCAAATAGTTTTTAACTGGACTTGCAACATGTGGTTGAGCGTTGTCATAATGAAAAATTATTAATTCGTGTCTGGTCGCATATTCTGGCCGTTTTTCTGCAAAGGCCTTTTTCAAATGAATCAATTTTTTTCGGTAGAGGTCCGCGTTGATCGTCTAACCTGATTTCAATGGACCATAATAGAGCAAACCCTTGTGGTCCCACCAAATACAAGCATATTCTTGGCATCAAGGATGTCGATGGTTGGTCGGGCTTCACATACGATCTCTTGCGCTTTGAGTTATCATAATGAATCCATTTTTCATCGCCAGTCACAATCCGATCCAAAAATGACTTCTTTTGGTGGCGTTGCAGAAGAGACGCTCGACGTCCCTTGGCTCTAATTCATAAGGTACCCAATTTCCAAGCTTCTGGATGAGTCCTAATGGTTTTAATCGTCTGGAAGTTCTTCATACGTCTGGCATGCATCAGCGTCGAGCAATGTCTCCAATTCTTCGTTTTAAAGATTTTTTGGCTGTCCGGGTCGTTCTCCGTCGACTAAGTCTGAATTGCCATTTTGAAACCTTGCAAACCACTTTTGGCACGTTTGTTCGGCTAGAGCATGGTCACCATAAACGTCGAGTAAAATAGGATGGCTTTCGGTAGCACTTTTCTCCGTGTTAAAGTAATGAAGAATAACTCCCCGCAAAATCACTTTATCTGGTACAAATTTCGACATTTTCTAATGAATGAAACAACAAATGAAAAGGACGCGAAATGACAGCACCTTTGGAATGAATATAGCCACAGATGAAGACGACGCGAAATAATACTAGTAGAGCCCTCTCTTAGAAAACCGCACGAATTAATGCATACACCCTATACACTATTTATAGCACAAGAACGGCTGAACCGATTTGGCTGAAAATTAGTGGAGAGATAGTTAAGAGCCAGGAGATGAACATGGGACTTAACATAAAAGGTGGTATAATAGAATCCAACTGACATGGAAGAACAAAATGTAAATGCGCTTTGCTCTTTATCGAAGTCACGTGTTATCTTATGGGCGGTAGTTTATTAGTCTGGTGAGGATTGCCAACGTCAAATCGTGAAATGAATGATGCATATAATTGAGATTGAAAGGCTAATATGAATATGATGATATATATATGAGATTTAGTCGTTCAAACGAATGTAGCACTGTTGAATAACCAGCAAAAGTAGGTAGTTTAGTATTGGTTTATATTACCTGGAAACACCTGGCGGATAAGGTAAAACATTCCTCATACCAGCGGGCTGTTCGGGCGAGATCCAACTTTGCGGTTACAGTTGCTTCTTATGAAATAGCAGCGAAATTGTTAGAAAAAAGCTGTATGGCTCATTCGGCATTGAAATTGCCATTAAATCTTCCAAAGATTGATGAACCAATATGTCATATTGTAAAACACTCCACAAAGGTCAAAGTTTTATCAGTATCGGAAATTATCATCTGCGACGAATGCGCCGTGGCACATAAATGCGATTTGAAAGCGCTTAACGGAACATTGAAAGAACTACGCAATGACTCGAGACGTTTTAGAGACGCAATAGACTTCCTGTCTGACGATCTGTAATCCCAAGATCAACTGTTGCACATGAAATGTCTCAAATCACCGAATCTATGACGCTATGTGAAAAAACTTCAGCCGACAACAAACAAAAGAGTTGCATTGCTGAACGATACATCGCTGAAAATTGCTCTGAATAATTACTGACTATCGGTAATATTCTGTAGACGAATTGAAGGGATTTCTCTCATTTCCTCCATATTTCTGTAATTTTGTCTCACCGAATGACAAACTCATCAATAAAGTATTCCAAAACAAGGAATATTAAAACCAACAATACCGAATGGTTGAGTGAGCGAGCAATTCTGGCGGATAAGAATAAAGATACAGATGACTTAAACTACATAATTCAGAATGAGATCATTGATACACTGCATTTGTTCAAGACGAAGCCAGCAACTAACCAATTGAATTTGTGAACTCCTTGACTCTCCTTGGCTTACCACCGTGCAGTTTACGACTAAAGCATGGTCCCGTAGTAATTATGCCTCGAAACATACGAAAACCAACCAAAAATGTTTTTAGTGGTAATAGAAATGATGGAAAATGTGGTTTACGCGACGCTACTTTAAGGGAAATTCGAAGATGAAGAAGTGCTCATTCCGTGGTTCCCGATGATCGCAAATGATGTGCCAGCTGAGTTTAAAGGACTTCAATTTCCAATCGATCTTGCATTCGCCATGACCATTAACAAGGCATAAGGTCAATTCTTGAACGATTGCTGTCTGAATATAGAAAATCCATATTTTTCTCATGGTCATTCATATGTGGCATATTCACGGGTCGGAAGAACATCTGCGTTATTTTAAAACGAAAAATGTCGTACTTCGCTGAATAGTGCAACTCATGCACCAAAATACTAAAAATAATTATTTTTTTTTTGGGCGGCGGCGGTAGCTGAGTGGTTAGCATTGCGTATTGACATTCTTAAGGCTCGGATTCATATCCTTCATTTTATAAATGCGGTCGTCCCTCGTCAGCCCCTCCGAGTGTATTTCGGACATGAAATAAAGGCTCCTCGTAAAGCTTCACCGTTCGGAGGCGGCTTAGTATAAACTGTAGGTCCCTCCATTTGTTGGAAAAGCATACTATTTTACTACAGGGAATTCAGAACCTTCAGGCCAAGCTTCATAATGAATTCATTACGATGCTGAACAACAACAACAGAATATGCAACTGGTATTTAAATTGATTCTGTTACTCTTAATTAAGAATGACTCAAAAGGCTTCAATGGATGGAATGGATCTAAGAAAAAAATCTGTTTTTCCGTGATTTTTGTTTTTCCATTTTTGTAGGTATTTAAAATATTATTTGAACTTAAATTAAAAATATGAAAAATTAAAGTGACTTTAACAAAGCGCGGTGAATATAAAAATTAGTTCTGCTTATATTTTAATTAATATTCCAAAAAATTCAATTCTGCAGAAAAAAACAACACCTAGAAACAACAGTTGAGAATGCATTCGAACGCGCGCGCTGTCTATGTATACTTCCTAATCGTGTACATATATATAATATATTCCAATTTATTAAGAAGATACCAAAAAATAAAAGCAGAATATTCAAGGTTTGTATATCATTGTGTGCGAATTTAAATATTAATAATAAAGCAAATAAATTAGTGAAAAATATGTATGTGTATGTATGCGGCTGAAAATGTTTATGACTAATTTTGAAACAAGTTTGAGGTGAGTTTCTCGTATGGTTCTTTTCGATTTAAAAAGGAATTTGGCTTTGAATTTTGTAACTAATAATATACTTAACTTTTATTTGTATTTATGCGGAATTAAATAAAAAAATAAAAATTTTTTATTTTTAAATATCATTTTACTGTTTATTTAACAAGCATACTTGCATACATAAATAAAAAAATTTTAACAAATTACTTAATCATCACAATAATTGCTCCATCATTTACCATCTCTGTCAACATCTTACTCATGGCAAATTGGAAATAAAATATGTTGCCGGTACATATGAGTAGATTTTTGTAAAGCGATCCTTTAATATCAACTCCAACGTCTGCTCCAATGTCGGCGCCAAAGTACCATACAAGTCGCGCCAATTCTGATTGAACAGATCATTGGCGCTATTTTCGAGCTCTTTCTGGCCGCCGAATAAATTCTGTACGTTTATATGAAAATCGCCGATTTTCTGAATTTTCGCTTTGAAACCGAGAATTTCAGAGAATGTCAGATCACCCTCATGACGTGTTCGTGTAGTTGTGTGGAAGGTCAGCACGATGTTCTCTGGAAAAGATGAGTTTATGTTGAAATATCGTAAGAAATATTTAATGTAATTTTAATTTTAAATAGATATAAGTTAAAAAAAGTTAATTTACACTGAAACAAATAATAGATAATTAATAGTAATTGTAGTAATTTTGCATAGAGATTATTGATTATTTAATATATTTAATTTTTAAATTTTTATATGAACGAAATATATATATATTTTCGGTTCAGCTCCAATTCGAGAGACCTACAATTGTTTTTAGCCGCCTTGGAACCGCTGATTGATTTTTGTTGGGAGCTTTTATGCATGTTGACAATACACCATTCGGAGGGCTCCACATTCGCTGACGAGGGGCGAGTTATTTTTTTATCAATTTATTTTCTATTATATTTTATATATCTTTGGACATAATGTACAGATTTTTTCCAATTTAATTTTTTATTTTTTTATTGTAATAGTATTTCTTTTTGCACTTACTTGCTTCAAAGTTTGCTGTACCCTGTCCATTTAGATTTAGGCCTAAAACCGAGCCTGTAACCTTATAATTGCCAACACCTCGGAGATGTGGTATTTCGATTGTTGCGTGCACTTCCAAAGTTTTTTTATCCAGCCTAAAAATATATAAAAATTAAAATCAAGTAAATAAGAGATTTTTTATTACAAAGATTTCACTAAAATTTGCTTACGTTGCCTTCACGACCTTAGCGCCGCTGGAACCGGTGACAAGCATATTCTCCAATTCAGCATTAATACGCAGTATGCCGCCATCGTCTTGATTAATTTTGATCCGTCTAATACTTAAGGGTTCCAAAGAGCCCAAAGTTTTTAAGCCGGGAATGCCTGTTTTGAATAGTTTTGAATTAAATCATTTTTAGAAAACCCCACACGACTAAGTGCTCGTATAAATTGCTCACCATCCTTCCACTCGCGGAATAATACTTGGAAATTCTTTGCAAAACACACATTCAAATTTGGATCATTGAAATCACAGGGATTTAAAAAGTTCGCTGAAAAAAAGAAACATATTTTTAACCGTTCAACAAACTTTGCACTTTCCTCTTGGGTTAATATTTTTAAAATTAAATTTAAATAAAACTTGAGCTTACGTCTTTCAGTAAGATATTTTCCCAGCACATTTGCCACTTGTAATGAAAGCGACAGCAAAAATATTGAGACACACAATTTGGCACTCATTTTTGATTTAACGGAAACTTATCACAAAACTAAAAATGTGTGTTCGTTATTAACAAAAAAAAAATCCGACACGCTTGATAACTAGAAAATGGCAAATTGTCTTTTTCAAACAAATAACCGTCGCCTTAGCCGTTCACAGTTATTCTAAATTGAAATTAGCGTAGACCTTTAACTTTTATATTTGTTACTAATTTATATAAATAAAAAATGCTTGTTTGCTTCTGTGCTATGCGACATGCATATATACAACTCAGAAGAATCGATTAAGTTCCGAACTTGTTTTGGAAATTATTAAATTTTGCAAAAAATGTCATCGAATGCATAAATATGTATATGTACATATGTACAAATTAATATACAGGGTGACGCACTCTTGAATAATTAAGAGCGGTATGGAATATTTTGAAGTGTTAAAAGCAGATAAAAAATAATTTATATACTCAATAACGGTATTTATTCGTTTTGCAAATGAATTTCAAGATAAACAAAATGTAAATTATAGAAACAAGCTGGTCTTTGTTATGAATGCACAGAAAAAGTGAAATAACTTTACAATGGTATTACATGACAAATTTTTTATTAACAAAGGTAATGGTTTAAAATATTCTTAACTGACTAACACAGACTTTGGATTTCATTAAAGCAAAAGAAAAATAATAATAAAGAGTAAATATAATAATAAAAACGATTTAATAAAACACCGTATACAATAATAAATATAAAATAAAATAATTACAAAATAATAAAATTTCATAAATGAAAGTCAAATAAAATAAAAAAAAAAAAAAATAGATAAAAAATTATTAAAGAAAATAAAATAAAACAAAATACCATAATATGAAATAACATAAAGAAAAATGTAATAAAATAATAAAAAATAAATTAAAGTAATTTTAAAATAAATAAACCCAATTAAAAAAAATAAAAAAAATACAAATATAAAATAAAATAAAGTAAAATGAATTGAAATAAAATGCAACAAAAAATAAATAAAATAAAAATATAGTAAAATAAAATAAAATAAAATAAGCTAAAATAAAATACAGTAAAATAAAATAAGCCCAAATAAACTAAATAAAACAAAATAAAATAAAATCAAAATAAGGTCAAAAATATAATAAAAATAAAAAAATAATAATATAAAATAAAATAAAATGAAATAAAATAAAAAAGAAAAACCAAACTAAAATAAAATAAACCCAAATAAACTAAAATAAAACAAAATAACATTAAATAAGAAATTATAAAAAATGAAAAATTAAATAAAACAAAATACAATAAAATAAAATACAATGAAGTAAAATGAAATAAAATAAAATGAAATCAAATCAAATAAAATAATCTTTTCTCATATATCGGTAGATTACACCTTTAAAAATAACATATTAAAATTTCAAATCAATCATTTCAGATGTTTTTGAGTTATAGCAATCTAAAGAGCAGCCGTTCAGCAGCTAGAGAGTCTCATTAGCTACGAGTGAAAACGATCATTTTATCTTTAAACGCGTTTTTCCCGAAACAGCATTTCCCGAATTCGCTGCAGTGATTACTCCAAAACAAATGATCCAATCACTATCGAATTTTTTTTAAATGTTCTTCATATAGTTCTCCGTACAATGACCTATCGATTTTTGATCTGATCAAAAAATCGAATTTTGACAGGCAAAAAACGACCAAAATTTTAATTAATTAATTTAATTTTTTTTAAACGCCGTCATATTGTCAATTTTTGATTTTTTTTATCGTAAGTCATTGTACAGACAATATTATTAGTTAATTAATTAATTAAGTTATTAGTTTAACGAGAATTTTTTTTTTAGATTTCATCCACGAAGAAGGCCGGAATCACTGCAGCAGTAAAGGACCTTTTTTTGCGCCGTTGGAGATCGACTATAACTTAAAAAATATTTTCTTCTAAAATTTCACTGTATATTCTTGAAACATGTATAAATATATTCTTAAAATTTCGAAATAAGTGATACAGTATTTTTTTTAATACAAATTCCCAAAAATCAGCTTTTTTAGGCCATTACACTAGGTTTGCCCCTTAAAATAAAGGAAAATATAATATAAGCAAAAAAAAAAAAAATTAATAAAATAAATATGATAAATAAAAGATATAATAAAAAAAATAAAATAAAACAGTATTATATATAATAAAAACAGGGAAAAAATAAAATAAAATGAAATAAAATAAAATAAAATAAAATAATATAATACAAAAAAAAAAAAATTAAATATAAAAATTAAACAGAGTGAAAAAAAATAATATATACAATATTAAAAGAAGGAAAAAAAATACAATAAAATAAATTAAATAAGATAATATAAAAAAATTAAATAAAATAAAGTTACAAATAAAATAAAATATATTAACATAAATAAAATAATATAAATATAATATAATGTAATTAGTATTTTTTGTATTCCCTCGCTTAAACAGTAAGTTTTTTTGTGTTGATTGAAAATAATTTTAAAATATAAACACAAATACAATAATTCCTATAATTTATTACTTTATTTTATTTACAAATCCTAAATAACAAAGTAACATGAACTCCATACAAACAAATTGAAATTAATTATCAATTAAATTCAATATATATACCAAAATCTTTTTTATATTTGTTTATTTGATTAATATATTCCCATTAAGTTGACTTTGGAAATAAATATAATAAATAATAAAGACTCGAATTATTTCGAAATTATTAAAATAAATTGGAGTGTCTGAGTAAAACAAACAAACAACAAATAAAAAATTAATAAATATTCAAAATGTTACATTAGCGGCAATGCAAGAAAATAAATTTTATTTTACTGGCACTTTCTTCGTGAACTTAATACCATTAGATGGAAATATACTTTCGCATGCATATATGTACATATGTGTGTTTAAGTGTTTGCATAATAAATAAACATGGATATGCATTTGACCTTGACTCCATTCTAGTTAATATCAAATGGCCGAAACAGAAAGTCTTATAGAACAAAATAATCAATAAAGAGATGGTTAGGAGCATCGCTCGCACTGCAAGAAGAGGTATAAAACAACAAATGTGTATAACAGGTAAGCAAAATAAATAATTATAAAAAAATGCTTAGTAATCCAGTGCAAATTATAGCCAACGAGTAATTAATATAATATATGCACAAAAACTGTGGCGAGCTACTAAAGACAAAAGTTAAATTTATTCAAAACGCAAACTGGCTAATACACAATAGGTAAATGTGACAGAAACACAGTGCAGATAAACGTAAAAGAGGAGGTTTAAATAAAATTTAGTTGAAAGATAAAACTAAAAACTCGCAGCAAATTGGTTGTGCGGTTTATATTCAAACTTTGAAGCTATGGGTATATATTTTTATTATTTAAAATCATATAAATATCTCCTTCTTTTATTTTATCTTATTTACGAGTAAATTATTAGCACGAAATTTACTCAAGGCACTTCCACAACATCCTCAGCATACAATTTCGCCGCCGACGGTATATCGGATATAAAATAATTTGCTGGTATAAAATTCAATACGCTCTTCAAACGCGCCAACGTCACAGTATTTATGGCATTCTCCAGTGTTGGCCGTAACACTTCGATCACATCGCGCCACAACTCATTTAACAGCTCATTAATTGTGTCTTCCAGCTCCGCACTACCGGCCAAGAACTGCCTCAGCCTCAAATGAAAATCGCCAATTTCAATAATTTTACTATGAACAGCGCGCGGGTCGGCGAACGTCTGATTGCCCTCATCCTGTAGGCGTAACGTGAAGAGGAATGCCAATTTGACCGACCCTAACGGAGTCAGAGAGCGAGGCGCATGAAAGCCGAAACGAATGAACAGTCAAAGCAGTGCCGCAGATGATTGTTGCAAATGCGTGTAGGAGGCCGGTGCAAGGGGGAATGCAGTTGAGAAATGTTAAATTCATTAAATGAAATATGCATTACGAGCATACTTACTTGCTTCGAGCATTAATTTGCCACTGTTGTTAATGGGTAGAAAGAGTAAACGACCGTTGGCGCGAAAGTCAGCGGTGAGGCGCAGCGCAGGCAGGAATATTTGTGCACGGAAAGTGTAGTCGTTGGGATCATGGCTGCACCCACACACATAAATATGCGCTCCGGTGTTAATAAATTAAAAAAAAAAATTAAAAAACTTAATAAATTTAAGTACATACCGTATTTTTGTTATATTTGCCCCGCTGATGCCATGCACAGTTACATTCTTCAGTCGTATACTCAGCTCGTCCTGTGCAATGCGTATGCGACGTATGTGCAAAGGCTCAAATTTATCGCCTGTCGCCAGTCCGGGTATGCCTGCAATAGTGAAATTAATATTTGTATTTATATTTGTTTGTATGCCAAATGTATGTTTGTATATATGTTCATATATGTAAATATATATTGTAATCATTTTCGCACCATTTTTGTACTCAATCAACATAGATTGCAGATTACTCTTATAACACTCCTCGTAGTCTGGCATATCCGCGGTGCAGTGTTTAAAAAAAGTGGCTGGAAAATTAAGAAAATTCAGCTTTCATCAGCAGTTGAATGTAATAAGTTCACATCCTTACGTTTTTCAGTCATAAACAGACGTTCGGCCATAACAGTTGCTGCGAAGCTGAGCCAAAGCGTTTGGTAACTGAGCATAATCATGTTGCGATTGCTTCTACCACTCCCTTTTAGTTTTATGCCAATAGTAAAAGATGCTAGTCTCTTTCAAGAGGCTTTTATAGTAGTGAATTTCGCGGAAGAATTACAGCTTTTTTAAGAACCAAAGAAAAAAATTGATGTGATTTTAATCACCTCGTACCTGAAAAAATTATTAATTTATACGATATAAGCATGCAAATATTCGTAGGATTATATCGAAAAAAAAAAAAATTCCCTATTTGATAAATAAAGTAAGTGTTTAAAATGTATTTTTGTACAATGAATTAATGAATTTTTTTATTTTTTACTCATTTGATTATATTTCTCATCTAAGTTTGCTGGTAAATTCACGCTTCAAGTGACGGACAAGTTACTTTAAAGTCGCATTAGAGAAGCGTAAAATATTTTTTTTGAAGGTGGCAACCTTTTTCTATGATAACATTAATGAATTGCTCAGCCGGAGAACTTTTTTTCCGCTCAACACTCAACGATTGAGTAGTTTTAGGATTATAAAATGAAATTAAAGTCATTACTTCAATGAATATAACAGTCACAACAGCTAAATGGTTAGTGAAAGTACATAGTTTCAAGTCCAAGCCGGACGAAAATCCAAAAATTTATAAATATTTTTTATATTTCAAAAAAAAGGGGTTAGTTAGGCATGGACTACCAACCTCAGAGTGTATTTCTGGTATGCAAAAAAAGCTGCTCATAAAGCACACCGTCTACCTTCGGAGGCAGCTTTGCATAAATTGTAGGTTCCTCCATTTGCTGAAAGAAACAGCATTTAGACCACAAACACCACAAATTCGTGGAGGTTCAGCCGAAAATCATTACAGTGGTCACAAAGCACCTATTATATGGGATTATCATTTACGTGCTTTCAAAAGTCCAAGCAAGTTAACAATTATCCAACTTGACAGTTAAACCAATCGGGTCATGTTTTAGTTAGTATTGGCTTAACAACAACTTTTTCTTTATCTGGTCTTTCCAACAGAGTGAGGGTTTTCCTCTTTCTCTACTTCCACCCGCGGGTACTGCATCGAAAGTTTCACAGTATTCTTATTCATTTGGAGTTAACGCTGCCGCTGTTTCTTGATTCGTTGATTCATTCCATCGGCTGCGGTATTCGTCGTTACCAACCCAACGTGAAACCTTTCTCACGCAAACTCCTAACGCCGACTCATCAGAGTTTGCAATCGTCCATGCCTCCGCAAAATATGGCAGGTCGGGAACGATGAGGGAAATTTAAAGTTTGGTTTTCGTTCGTCGAGAGAGGACTTTACGTTTCAATTGCCTATTCAGTCCAAAGTATCACCTGTTGCCTTGTTGCTGCATTGCTTTCGGAGATAATACTGGACCCAAGACAGACGAAGTTATCTATAACTTCAAAGTTATGACCGTCAACGGTGACTTCCACGAGTCGCAAATACGACGACTGTTTATTCGATGACAGGAGATATTTCGTACTGCCCTCGTTCACTACCGGATCCATATCCTTCGCATCCTTATCCAGTGTGGAGAAAGCAGAACTCACGACGCGGTTGTTGAGGCCGATAATGTCAATATCTTCGGCGTACACCAGCAGCTGTACACTCTTATAGAATATTCTACCTTCCCCATTCAGATGTGCAGCTCGGAGCTTTTAGTGTTGCTGAAGGTCAGTTTACATTGCCAGCTAACGAATTCCAATGGATGTACATACGTCCATTAGGTGCTTGAATAATGGTGAATTTTTAACAAAAATTTCTTTAGAGACGTGGTACATATCTCACTCGGACGATAAACGAGCAAACTTTTTGCATTTGGGGCACCGTAAATCCTCAAACAATTGAAGACGATTTTTTTCAGCCTGCAATTGAAGAACACGATTTTGACAATATGTGGTTTCAACAAGCCGGTGCCAAGTGACTCACAACACGAGCGAATATGGTTTTGCTGCGTGAAAAATTTCCCGGCCGCGTAATCTGATGTGGCCGTGGTGATGTTAATTGGGCTCCGAGATCCTGTGGTTTGACACTGTTGGACTTTTTTTCTGGCACTACGCGACAGACCATGCTTATGCGAATAGACCCTTCGATCTTGAATGCCTGCACCTCTCACGATGTGTCTATAAGTGATCGAAAATTATCTCAAACGTTTGCAAAAATCCACGAGGCGGTCATTTAAGTGATGTGGTGTTTCGTATAAATTGCCAAAACTCGAACTTTTTAATAAAAAAGGAGTTTCATGAAAAGCAAAATATATTTTAAAAGCATTTCATTTAAGTTTATTTTCGAAACCACAAAATGGACAACCCTACCAATGTATATAAATAAAATATTTTAAAGTCAAGCGCTTTATTGGCAACCCGCTCGATGTTGGCAACACGCTAGTGTAGCTAGACTTGTCACCTTTCCAACGAGACCGGTTCGAGATCAGTACATGGAGATCCAATAATAATTTCCCATACAAGAATTTTTTCACTTTCACTTCTAGACGATGCTAAAAATTCAATGTTTGTGATGTGTTTTTTTTTTTCAAAAACACCTTCATCTCACTATATGATTGTTTAAACGTCCTATATGTGTATATGTATGTATGTACCAACATACACGCCCTCTTATTCATCGCAGTACATTGTTGTGCCTTTCTTTTGAGTGTGACGTCATTGTTTTGTTTATTTCGATTAAATTTGTACCTATGTGTCCGCATAATATATAGCGTGTGTATATGTATATGTATTTCTACGCATAAAATTTAGTAACATGCGTAGCGTAGAATTAATTTCTGGGCCACGAAACGTCACGAGAACCAGTTTGTTATGGGCAGGTGTGAAGAGTTTTGTTTTTTTTTTTGAAGAAGAATATGAAATATGAAATGTAAATTTTTTTGCGTAATTATGTATGTATATTGGCTGTAAATGGTAAATAACTTAATTTATTGTATTCGACTGAAACAAAAAACGTGATGTGTATGATTATTTATATTTGTTCAAAGATGTTTGCGTGTTTGGCACGGGGCGCCTGACTAATTTAAATGCTTTTTTTCGTGTTCTCGAACTTGGATTGTGACTGAATACTTTGAAATCTGGTTATTTTTTCTTATACATAAGAGATACATAATACTTTTTACATGAGTGCTTTAGTGCTTACATATTTATATATTTATAATTGCCATACTAGTTTCGCTTGAATTCTTGTTTATAAATTCTGGTTCACTCACAGATGCTGTTTGAACTGAAGATCATTTGAGCATTGAAATTATTAATGCGAAAAACCGATATATCGAGAAGTCAGTAAAGGCTAGCGGTCAGCGATATGGTTAAGTTCCTTCTTCTTCTTTATAGCCGAATCAATATTAGCTCGCCATTCATCCGTTCTTTTCGCTATTCGGCTATTTGGTTGGTTGGAAAGACCAACTGAAACGAGTTCACTCTCCACTTTATCCTTATAACAGAGTGAAGATCTTCCTCTTCTTTTGCTTCCAACAGCTGGTGCTGTATCGGATACTTTCGTAGCAGGATGCTTTCATACATTTGGACGACATGCCTGGCTAGGCTTAGCCACTGTCTTACTTACTTACTTCTAAAATGTTGAGTCTTCGATTGCAAGTGGAAGAAATGTATGCGTCGCATTTGGGTGAAATAATTCGCTATCCAATTTGAACAGCGAGTTTGCTATATCGGCTTATTATCGGTCAAAACAATTTACGTGCGTTTAGAGCTCGTTGTGAAGGCTTATGCAGTCCAAATTTTATAAGAACTGAAGCTTCATGACCATCAGATGCGTTTTTGCTTCTCTCAATTGCCTGAAGGTCGCTTCGCGTAAGCTGATGATTGTCTCCGAAAAACCATCTCTTCCGTGAAGTTCATTTTCAAATCGACAAATACGCCAATAAACTAAAAAGCCACATTTGGGGCTTAAAAAACCTACACGTAATCATTAAGAAGCCAAACCATCCTCATTAAGTGTCTGTATGGTGCAGCAGGTGAGCCTGTGGCGTCATTGGTCCCTTCTTCTTCGAAAAGTAGAGAAAATCTTTTGTTACCGTCAATGCCATCGTTACCATTTCATACTCACAAGTTATTGGTTTCCAAAAGTGGAAACAGGTCGGCGCTAGTTGCCCTACATTCAACATTACAATGGATCTTTATACATAATTAGCCGATACGGAGATGCCAACTGGCCGCCTCGCAATTGCGATTGGACTCAATTCAACAGAACAATGACCTGAAAAAGTACCCAAGAATTACGGAAGAGCCTTGCCACACGAACGAAATTTTCCAACAATAAAAAAGGCCTTGACTTAAAAACAAGTCCATCGCGCCAAGTTTTACAGCTACAGAAAGAACAAGTGAAAAACAAAAATAAGTAAAAGCGGCACACATTTAGCTTAATGGGATAACCATTGGCTCGTGCTGTGGGCATCCCAAGTTCGAGTTCAACTCAAAGAAGTCTGATGAGGAAATTTCAGCTATAACTTCTACCCTCCAAAGCTGTTGTAATTTTTTCACTATTTCCAAAAGTATATGGTCTGAAATACTTCCATAAGAAACCCAAAAGTGATTATTTTTTGTTGGAAGCTGTTAATCATGAGTTCTATGCCAACCATTCAGGGATCATTCTGGACTTGAAACATGAAATTGAAGTCGCCATTGCAGTCTTAGAATCGAAGCTCTTTTGAAAACCAAATGAGCTATTGAAAGGCCAGCCGCGGTAATCTTTGCATGAAGCGATGCTTCGTCTTTAACCGGATAGTCCGTGCACTTCAATAACAGCAAAAAAATCATTAAAAAATGTTTATCCATCTTGTTTCACTTTTCAAGGGCATAAAATGGTACACTAACTTTGCCCGAAGTATTTAAGAACCAGAAAGAGAAGATACAGACAGAGACAGATCCATTAAAATTTATGCCAATTGAATCTGAATTATGAGCCGAGTTTATCTAGTCGTACCAGTCTATCTGTTTGTTCGTACGCAAACAGGTCCCTTACTTTTTGAGATATTTCAACTGAACTTGGCATATAAAGGATCATTTGTTGAAACCGGCCAGCATGAAGCAGTATATATATAATAGGCGCTTTGTAACCGCTAAAGCGATTTTCAGCCGAGCTCCTCCTCCAACAACTGGAGGGACCTACAGTTTTTAATAAACCGCCTCCGAACGGCTGATAGTTTTATTATGAGGAGCCTTTATTTCATGACAGAAATACACTCGGAGGGGTTGACATTTCCGGCCGAGGGGAATATTTGCTTAGTTTTTTATCAGGTGTACAACTTTGCTTCCGCCGTTTTCCGATAGGTGGCTGTACCGGATGAGGCTGGTTGAAATACATAGATGATAATGCCTTTAGAGGGAGTGTGAACAGTGCCTAACGAATTGTCATCGCCGTTTCAATGACAGTTGTTCTTGTTTTCATATTATTCACGTTCGAAAATGTCCGATTATGTGCCTAGTTATCGCCATTTGCGGGAAGTTTTACTTTTCTGTTACAATTCGAAAAAAAATGCAGCTGAAGCGCAGAGAATGCTTTCAGAAACTTACGGTGATGCTGCTCTGAGTGAAAGAACGTGTCGGGAGTGGTTTCAACGTTTTAAAAATGGTGATTTCGATGTCGAAGACAAACATGCTGGTTATGATTTGTATTTGGTGGGATCAGCTCGTTGTGATTTATTACGAGCTCTTAAAACCGGGTGAAATCATCACAGGAGATCGCTATCGAATGCTACTGATGCGCCTTAGTCGCGCGCTAAAAGAAAAACGGCCACAATATCAAGAGCGACATGACAAAGCCATCCTCCAACACGACAATGCTCGGCCTCACGTCGCAAAAGTGGTCAAAAAGTACCTGGAAACGCTGAAATGGGAAGTCTTGCACCACCCGCCGTATTGCCTAGATGTCGCCCCTTATGACTTCCACCTATTCCGTTCGATGGCACACGGCCTGGCAGATCAACATTTTCAAACCTTCGAAGAATTGGAAAAATGGATTGCTTCTTGGATAGCGTCAACAGAGGACTCCTTTTTTCGAGCCGAGATTCGAAAATTGCCGGAAAGATGGGAGAAAGTTGTCGCTAGCGAAGGACATTACTTTGAATAATATATCTGTAAGTATTTTTTCGCAATAAAGCTTTTAATTTTGGACAAAAACGGCGGAAGCAAAGTTGTACACCTGATATTTAAATTAATTTTCCATAACTTTTGAATGTTGATCGCACGGGGATTTGAACCCAAGCCTTCCGAATGGCAGTACGCAATGCTAACCACTCGGCTACCGCGGCCGCCGGAGCAGTATAGCATATGTATTTTTGACCTAAAATTAGGATTTGGAATTTTTGGACATAAAACCATCAAAAACCGCCGAAGGATATGAAGTATTCTACAGAGGGGTATTGAACAAAATTATCGAAATCGGACAGCTATATCATATATGTAACTCCTATACCCCGCTCTTTGTTTAGAACTCCTTCAAAAAACATTTACAAATAATCACTGTTACTGATAATTATCGAATTCAGAAAACTTTATCATATAACTTCCCCTCCTGCAAATTTTTCAAGGCATGAGAACTAATATTTAATCCTAAAATAAAATCCCAAGAAAGTAATAAAAACTTGGGCATGACCAAAGACAGCTATTCTGTCTTATTTCATAGAAATTTCAAAACGAAAAATGTTTGTGGTCCAACCGTTCGAAAAGCAAGTCATATTTCAAGCGGCCGTAATAACTGAGTGATTAGCAGTGCATGCTATCATTCGTAAGACGAGGATTCGGACACTGATTCGGCCAACACCCAACAATAGAGAAAATACAATTTTTTAATGGAGATCTCGAGCACTGCGAGTGTATTTCTGTCATGAAATTAAAGCTACTCACAAGAACCCATCGGCCGTTGGGTGGTGGCTTAGCATACAGTCTCTCATTGCCTGTGCTGCCATATCAAGTTATTTAGCGCCAATTTGGTTATAAATATTTTTTGCCGGGCGGCGATAAGTGTTTATTCGTTTTATAATCTTTGTGAAAATTAATTTTAATTTAGTAAATATGGGGGTTTCGAATAAGAGTTGTTATTTGTATATTCAAAAAAACCTTTCCCTAAAACAATTGACGGTTTTGTTGCTTGTATGGCAGGTAGCGACGTCTTGTTGAAATAAAAAACGTCCGTATAAATACCATCCAATTCCACCCATGACAAATATTTGATCATCACTCGATAGCGCAATACATTTATTTGCGAAAAAGTGAGGTCCAATGACCCCACCGAACCGCCGATCGCACCAAACAGTTACACGTTGAGGATGGGAAACTTTTCAATAATAAATATTGGGTTTTCCGAGTCCCAGATACGGCAGTTTTGCTCATTGACGTGGCCGCCAAAGTGTAAACGCACCTGATTTTGATGATGATTTTTCGATTAAATTCTGGATTATTTTCATGCATTTCAAGAACTCGATCAGCAAAGACACGACGTTCTTGATGATCGCCCGGCTTGAGCTCTTATGTTAACTGAACTTTTTATGAGCTTTAAGTCGCAAATCTTTATGCTAAATGCAGTGTAACGACGTTTGTGGAACGCCGAATTTGAAAGAAGAACAGCTTCCTTCAACATCTAGCGCTACAGCAGCAATATTTTCAGTTGTTCTTGAGTGATGTGCACGTATTTTATTCTTCACATTAGTGAACTTGTTCCAACAGCTCCATTTTTTCCATCAATTTCTGTATTGCTGTGGGACTAGTTGCTGCACGGTGACCGAAAAATATTTTAGTTTTACGAACCGATTCTGCCAGGTTTAAGCCATTTTGATTGTGAATTTTAATTTTTCCATTTTTATTACGGGCGTAGTTTTTATTTTTCAAATGTCAAAAAATTACAGCTTAAAAAGTGACATCTACCGGAATGACAGGCTATTCAAAATGACATCTCTTACTGGAAAAGCCTTTATAATGAAAGTAATGAGCGTAAATATCAAATTTTCCATAGAAACTTAACCAGTACTATGATGAGGCTACGTCGGGGCTCCAGACAGACTACTCTAGAGAAATTATTCTGGCAACACTGGTCCCTCCATTTTTTGGAAATACATCAAGACGCACAACACCAATTGGAGGAAGAGCTCGGCCGGTAATAGCTCCAGTTGTCGCAAAGCTCCAATTATATCATCGTGCATATGCATACATATATTATTGCTTGGTAATAGCAATCTTCATTAATAATTTTAATATTTTTTTTTGCATTGATTGAGAAAAAGAACACGGATCCTTTCCTCATTGCAAATAAAAAAAAAAAAGAAACAATAAATAATTACGTTTTTTTTTAAATTATACTGAGACTATAATGTTTATATGTATGTATGTGCGTGATTGGTTTGAGGGCGCAGTGCTGTTTTGATAGTTTCTTTATTTATTTAATTTTTCAATAATTTAATTTAGTTGCTCTGCAACTTCGTTAGTATTCAAAACAAACATCTTTTTTTTTGGACCACAAAATATAATTGGTTGAGTGTTGAGATTCATATTAATTTAATGCATGACTTGTATGTTTCCATGCTCAGTTGTTGAAGATTCGTTCAATATTATACATACCCAGTGCGGTTATGCAGCAGTTTAGCAGTTTTATTTCGTGCGCAAATTTTGCCATCATTTTAGCTTTAACTACTTGCAGTCAACTGGCAGTTGTTGTTGTCAGTGGCCACGAATACTTGAGAGAGAAGCGTAAATACTCTTAATGTTGATTAAACTTGTGCAAAACTTATGAATAGAAATACTTGAGAATACTCAATTGCATGCTTATCCCGAAACTTTTGATTTCATTTTCCAGCTTCATTTCTGCAGCAATGCCATCTGCACGATCAAATCAATGGCAAATGTCTGGCGAATGTTTTTGAAAATTTGTTCACCGAGTGGCGTAATGGTGAGTAAGTGATGGTGAAGTAGATGGCGAACAACAATAAGTGTTGGTGGCTACAATGCGGAAAGGCTTTATTGTAAAATTATTATAATTTTTTTTTGTTTGTGTATTCTAACAAGGCGTGCCTGGCTTGAAAGGACTTAGTTCACTTGATCCGTTTCATGTGAAACGTGTGCGACTCTCACAGCAAACACCAGGTTTGGCTGATATCAAAGCTGAGCTGACGAATATGGTGGCGCATGGTATGAGCGGCACGCGTGTATTGAAAACGGCGTAAGTTAATAGAAATTCTCAAAAGCAAAAAAAAAAAAAATAAACAAAGAAAAGTGCATAAGTAATTATTCAAAAATTTTTCTTCTTCTTCTCTTCTTTCGCATACACCAACGAAGCGTCAATGATAAAGACTATACGATTGAATTCAAATTACATACACCATCGGTGCGTGCCGAGGGCGATTATCAGGTTAATGGTCGCATATTGATTTTGAATTTGAATAGCGTCGGCAAGATGTCATCCACTGTTGGTATGTAGTTGAATGCACGAAGCTTGTGCTAAACTAGTGCACATACATACATATTTTTGTGTGCTAAAATTTTACAATACTCTTTTGACCTTCAGTTTTTGATTTGTTGTATTTGTTTTTTTTTTTTTTAGAAAATCTCGAATATCGCATTTCGTGCAAAGCAAATTTAAAAAAAATCGATGGCCAATATTTCTTCGATTTGATCTCAGCCACTTCGCGCATTGATAAGATTGGCAACTTTAAAATCCATTTCACGAATCTATTTAGCGGCAATAGAGAGCTGGAGAATAGCGCACATGAATTGTTCAATACCAATTGGCGTGAGATTTTCGAAATTATGCGTCCTGCTTTCGGGCAAACAATCAATACGATCGTTCTCAATCGTTATAAAAAGATTTTAAGTTATGTACCGGCTAATTATTTTTTGGATGATTTACCATAAAATATTTAGTTTACCATAAGTTCCTGAATATGTATGTGTATGTATGTATATGAAAAATTAATTTTGAAACAAATAATTATTAGAGATTGTATATTGATAATTTTGTATTCGATATGATAAGGAAGAACAATAAAATAACCCAAAATTCCATGAAAAATAACAAGAGTCTCATATTAGTTATGTTTCGTGTTGGGGTTAATTAGGGGCCGGAATATCGGCAACGGGGATCGGGGAAGGTGCCGGTTCGTCAGAAACCTGAAAACCCATCTACTTGCCTGTCGCCAAACTCTCAATAAAAGTTTGAACCGTTAATCGGTTACGATATTAGAAAATTTATTGATGTTGCTGCTATGGCTGCACGCACATGGAAATCATAACGGGGCTAACTAGACTCTTCCCACAAATTTGAAGAGTCACTTATGTTAGAGCAAAATACAGCAGCGACATCTCTAGGTAGATGCTATGGCTGTTGCTCAGGGTTGCACGCGTAAACAAGTTAGTTAATTAGGTTGTTGCATCACGTGGTTCTATGATCGAGCACACTTTGGCCTGTTGGCCCATTATGATACGTATGAGGGCTGCCTATTTTAGGTGCTGAAACCAGTTGGTTTTTTTTTTAAATCCGATCAGATTAATGACATTATTATTATTATATCTGCAAGGCGGTAGAAGAATGGACGACTTCTATAATGACTTCTGGCGGGGCTGCAGACACCTAGGTGGAGCACTACCTCTGCCACTTTTTTTGATTTACTGGCGTAAACACCGCTTACGCGATTATAGTCGTATTTATAACATTGCGCCATTCATTCCTTTTTCCCGCTGCGTGGTGCTAATTGAAGATATCAAGCACATCCAGGCCTTTCTTTAACTGGTCTTTCCAATGGAGTGGATACCTTTTTCTTCCCCCGCTTCTATCGGTGGATACTGCATCGAAAACTCTCAAATCTGTAGTGTTCTTATCCACCCCGACCACAAAACCTAGCCAACGCAGCTGCTGTTTCTTGATTCGCCGAACTATGTCGTACCACCGGTTGCGGTATTCGCCGTTCCCAACTTAAAAAGGACAATAAATCCTACGCAAAATCTTTCTCTCAAAAACTCCTAACGCTAACTCACCAGATGTTGTCATCGTCCAAGGAATGAAGACGACAGAACTAGCAGCGCTGTTGTTGAGGCCAATAATGTCATTTTCACCGACCATTTTCTGCAAAATAGCAGATTTATGCACATTGAGAGCCTTTCGACGCTATGTCAGCTCCGTCAGCTCCAGCCGCTTTGTAGTTCTTTAGGCAGGCAATCGCTATTCGAGCCTCGTCATAGCCGGATAACGAAACTGTTTTTTCATCATCATCGATTAGGGTTTGAGGTTACCCATCTCCGAAGGTTTCATATTCACTGCCGTTCAGCTGGCTGGAGAAGTTTTTCGTCCATCAATTCAATATACATATACATATAAATATAATCTGGCATGGGTTATTAGATAACATCCTAATATTCTACTGGAGTCTGCTCCTTTCTTGAAACCTTCTGTGAGCCTCTGCTCTACCTTATGTACAGCCTGACATTCTTTCCAAGGTAATTTTTACTTCTGTCGCGACTGCAGAGGCAGGTAGTAGACACTACCTAGGAAACGATGTCGGTGAAACTTAGTTCTTTTTGTATCGTTTAATGACCAGTTCTGACTGGTCACATTGCATGTGGTTTCACTCTGCCCTTTGCTAATGGCTTTGCTGGTGAATGCCGATCTTAGCAGTAATTTTGCAGAGGAAGAAGGTATGCTGAGATCATGTACAGAGTTGAATGTAATTAGGGTGAGAGCACCCTTATTTGAAGGCTTCCCCCTTTCATGGAATGTCACCAGGCTCGTGGACTTTAATTCGTCATTTTACATACAGCGGAGAGTTTGTTTAAGATTTGACTAAATTTTATTGTCACCTTTGAGATGATGTGATTATTATTTTTTTATATGTATAGACGATTTTTTCCAGTAAAAGTTTTTACAACTATTTACAAACTATTTCAAACGTTAGTACTATTTCAGTTATTAATTCCTCATCTTCTTCTATATAGGCTTTGATACATTCTATAAGGATAGGGTAATTTGTTTGTAAAATTGAAAATCTTTATTTATTTTTCTACATCGATTTCGTCACCTTCGAAATAGTCCCCTGCCAATGGAATGCACTTACACCAACGCTTTTTTCAATTATCGAAGCATATCAAATAGTCCTGTCCTGTCCTGTCCGGTCCTGTGTGGCCTTCAGAGAGTTGATGTTTAATCTCCTCAATCGACTCAAAACGGTGTCCTGGAAGTGATCTCTAGAGTTCTGGGATGAGCCAGAAGTGACGTGGTGCTAAGTCCGGTAAATACGGTGGTAGGAAATGATATTCGTGGAATTCTTAGCGAAATGGTCACGAAGAATGAGTGCTGCGTGCATTATCGTGATGCAAAAACCACGAAGGCACTTTTGGTCCTTTAGTAAACACAAGCGTAACTAATATACCAATGATTGTCATGAAATTCGACGTAGATGTCAATAACAGTGCTACCAACATTAAAAAAATAATCAACTCAAAATTTTAAACGGGCGAAGCTCAAATTAAACATTTGCCTTACTTTTTGCTCACAGAGTATCTCATCGTTCCATAGTCTTTTGTATTCCTCATCGCTAGTATGTCAAAGTAAATAAATCATTCTCAAAAACTTGCTCCAAAAAGCTCCTAGCGCCAACTCATCGTATGTCGGGATTATTTTATATCATCACTAGCCTTAAGTTGAAGAAATCACTTGATCAGGTGGTAAGTCACCTTGCTTGAAACCTCGTTTAGTATCGAACGGCTCGGAAAGGTTCTTTTTCATTCTGACGGAATTCGCAAAGCCAATTTAGAATTCAGACTCAGCGGCATAGAGGTGTAGAGTCAAAAAGAAATCAAAGAAAAATTTATGTGTATCGATATTTTTCTCACAGATCTTTTTCAAGATTTGGCGTTTGTTATATTATTTATATATATATTTATTTATATTTACATTCGTTTGTTGTAGATTTACCAGGCTTCATGACACATTGATAAGGTTCAATTAGTTCGTTGACGTTCGATAATTTAATTGAACGGTCGGAACCCAAGGACCGCTGAACATACTTTCGTCCGCCCAAATACTGCAAAAAAGTTGATCCATGCCGCCATACTTGAAAGTTCAGCCTTTGAGCTGTCGACTCACGACACCTTGTTGTATTTCAGAAGGAGGATTGCTATTCGGACCTCGCCATAGATATTGACATAAGATTTATTAAAAAGAAGCCATTCTCTTTTGAATCATTCCAGCTTTTACTTTCCAAATCAACACAGCGTAAGTGACCTCGTCGCTGTGGCCGTGTGGTTAGCCCTGCGTACTGCTATTCGGAAGGCTCGGGTTCAAATCATTGCACAACGAACATCCAAGAGTTATGGAAAATTAATTTAAAAAAAAAAAAAAACTAAGTTGAATTTTCTAATTGCGGTCACCCTTCGGCAGTGAATGTCCTCCCTTCAGAGTGTATTTCGGACATGAAATAAAGCTCCTCACAAAAATCCAACAGCCGTTCGGTGGCGGCTTAGTATAAGCTGTAGGTCTCTCCATTTGTTGAATAAACATCAAGACGCAAAACAAAAATTGGAGGAGGAGCTCCGGCTGAAAATCGCTTCATATCATTTCAATGGGTCTCTATCTCCTCACTTTCATGTACATGAAAGGTATAAATATGAGTATAAATTTATTAGAAGTAAATGGAAACCATTGCTATTCAAAATTTCAATTCGCCTAGAGTGAAATTTTGAAAGTTTTTCTTTGTTCGATTTTCTCTGCCAGTTCAAGAAGAAAGCAAATTATGAAATATATTTGTAAAATCGAAAATTGAATAGAACAATAATAAAAAAATTTCAAAATAAGAGATCTTAATAAAGAACAAAAAAGACATGGAAAAGGATCCAAATAAAACGAAGAATAAGAAAAAACATTTCTCAAAAGCCACGAAAAAATCGCATTACATTGCTTATGAAAACGAAGACGCCGCACGGGCGGCGCTTATTGAGTTCTGCGTCTATGTATGTTTTCTCATTGTCACTTTGGTGGGTGAGTAGTGCTGCGAGGGGAATAGCTTGCAAATTGCAATAACTTTTTGTAAAATGTCTGTCATATATGTATGTAGTGGCCACATCCTCGCGCAATATATCGATGTATTTCTTCAACAAAGGCATCGAAAATCTCTTTTTGTCACGCGAAGTCAATACCTCCACACACGAGGCTTCTGTGCGATTTGCCGAATTAGCAACGACAGCTGATATGTGGGCGTTTTTGGAGACAAAATTTATAATGGACTTACATGGCATAGATGACAGGGAGAGTGGAGAAAATGCTGGTGGTGGTAGCGGCGGCACTGATGAAAGTGGCGGCAATTCAACGCACAGAAGACGCCGTTCCAAAGATGATAAGCTAATTTTTCTTGAACAGAATCTTGTTTTGGGGCCACCACGTCTACGTCAGATACGTGTAAAAGAGAACAGTTGTGATGTGCATGATCTCTTCGGTAGATATTTCTCAAAGTGTTATGCAGATTATGCGGTTAGTGAGGAGGACACAGGCGATTTATTTAAGGGGTAGGTTGAGAATATTCGAATTTTCCAAACAATTTCATTGGATCGCTTCAAACTCACAGCACCAAATATCAGACTTTAAATGAACTGGGCGCTGATTCGATTTGGGGTGAGATTACCACATATCGTAGCGGGGGGTTTGTAAGGAAATTGACCTACAATTACAACGAGAATAATCAAATTTTGTCTGAGCTGAAAACAAGCAAATGGCTCGATCGTGCTTCACGCCTGATAATAGTTGAATTCACGCTCTATAATGCGAATACGAATTTGGTGAATAATGTGAAGTGAGTGTAACTTGAAAAGCTTACAACATACGTTTCTCAAATTGCTCTCTTTCATTGCTTCTATAACAGATTTATAGGTGAATTACCGTCAACGGGTGGTGTGATCACGAGATATAGCATACAATCGGTGAAATTGGGTTCGATCTTTTGGAGGGATGGTATACCATTATTTGTGACAGGTATTTTCTTTTATCTCTTTATCTGCTATTACACCGTGGTTGAGGCACTAGAAGTTAAAAATATTGGCATCACGAATTATGTGCGTATTTTATGGAACTTTGTTGACTTTTTAATAATTCTGGTGAGTGAAAACATTTGTTAGTTTTTAGAATTAAAAATACATTTTGCTCTACAGTTAGCTTACTTTACGCTCGCCTACAATATTTGGCATCCCATATATGTCAACGAACTATACAAACGTTTCGAAAAAGATCCACATGAATATTTGCAATTGGACACGCTTTGCTTTTGGAACTTGGTGTATCGTGTCATCTTCGCGATCTGCGCATTTTTAGTCTGCATAAAAATATTCAAATTCATTAGTTTCAACAAAACCATGCGACAATTCAATGCGACCGTGAATGCAGTGAGTAGCGTAATAATTTTTCCGCTAAACTCGCTCATTTAAGAGTGTTTTCTAACATCGTACCATTTCGCTTTTAGTGTTTTCGTGATCTCTTGGGCTTCAGCGTAATGTTCGGCATCGTGTTTTTGGCCTATGCGCAGTTGGGTCTGTTGCTATTCGGCAATGTTCATCAGGATTTCCGAAATTTCAAAGAATCTTTACTGACGATGATACGCATGATTTTGGGCGATTTCGATTACGATGGCATTGAGGCGGCAAATCGTGTTTTGGGTCCAATATACTTCCTAACCTACATACTGCTGGTGTTTTTCATTTTACTGGTATTTCAATTAATTATTGTGTTTGCTTAAATTATTGTATAGTAAATTCGCTTTTCCCTATGCCATTTCTGCGTTTCAGAACATGTTCTTGGCCATCATTAATGATACGTACAGCAGTGTGAAGGGTAACATACGCGGTGGTAGAAATCATTTAATGATTTATTTGCGCAAATTATTGCACAAATATTGCCCGAAATGTTGTCGTCCTGCGGCGGCAAATGATGAAGAGCGTGGCCGGTCAACAAGGGATCGTAGTATGTCTAGGGATGCAAGTCCGGGCAGTAAACGTTCAGTCGACAAAGACAATGTTTCAGAGTAATTGTTATTTTATGAATAATTGTGACTTAATCTAACTACGTTTTGCTTTCTTTCAAAAGTTTTTTTGAACCCGTGGGACAGAAGGCGTCGCGATCTGGAAACTCTGACACCGCGGCTATTAGACGGTAAGGAATTTGTGCAACTAACTTAAGTCCTTACAGATTTTACAAACAAGTTAATCGATTAACTGCAGGTTTTAGGTTATATGTTTAATGGGTAAATACAGGGCTTTCCAATAAGAAGTGATATTTTGATATGCAAATAAACACCGCAAAGAGGAAGATGTGCTATTAACAATGGAAAGCAATATGAGCTAAATGGCCGCCACGGGTTTGATTACAGGACCGCAGTCGTTTTATGAAATTACACATCATTAAGGCTGCATGCTTTCAATAGCTTAACGAATTCCAACTTTGAGGTATTCAATCGACGTGGGCCTGTTGACGTAGGCCTTAACTTTCACTTGCCTACCTTAGGAAAAAGTCGCAAGGCAAAAAAATGGTAGCAAATGGTGATCACTTCTTCAAGGGATAATATAGTCCAGTCCACTTGTGTGGCACGTAGCGCCACCATATTGAAAGCAACATTGTCTAGCTTTATACCATCCATTTCTGGAATTAAAAAATCATTAATCATCTCTCGATAGCGCAATCCATTCACTGTAACTGTTGCTCCAGTTTCTTTTTCCAATGGCCTCACTGGACCGCAGATCGCACCAAACAGTTACACGTTGAGAATGGAGATGCTTTTTAACAATAAATATTTGTTCTTCCGAGCCCTAGATGAGACAGCTGTGCTTATTGATGTAGCCATCGAGATAATAAAAGGCCTTATCAGTAAAGACACGCCGTTGTTGATGCTCGGCCGGCATGAGTTCTTATGCTAACTGAACTTCCGACTAGGTGCTTCACGACGACCGAAAAATATTTTAGTTGTACGAACCAGGTTTTAGCCATTTTTATAGTAAATTTTAATAATTTTATTGCTTTGTTGAGGCTTCTATCGTTCCATTTTTAACATTGACGTAAGTTTTACTTGCCGAATGTCAAAAAATTACAGCTTCAGCAGGCTATTCAAAATAATACCTCTTCTTGGAAAACCCTTCATTAAAATCAAACCTTTGCTAATTTATTTATTATTTTTTAGGTTAACCGCTCGTGTAGCAGCTTTAGAGGATGTTATCGAACAATTGGTTACCGATGTTGATCGAACAATGCGTAAGGTTTTACCAAGTCGTCGGAAACGTGGAAATACGAGTCAAGGGTCGCCGTCGGAAGGAAGGAACCGTTGAGTGTGAAATTTACCAGATAAACGAATTTTGATTTGCTTTTCAATATTCTGTTGTACTCAAATGTTTTCAAAAAGTATTGGTTTCTTATTTAAAATAAAGGTGTTTTGGAATGCATAAATTTTAGAAGAAAAATGCATACCAGGGAATATTTGAATAGCTGATGGACGTCGTCCAGCGCCCCGCAAAGCTGTTAAACACCATTATCATCTCCATTATCGAAACTCTCCAAATGAACTGTGACTAATCGAATTCGCTGGGGCTCATAAAATGGTAGATAGAAATACTGAATTCCAGCATAAGAGAATTCCTCCAGCAACTCGAAATCAAATCGAGCTGTTGTAATATACGTACAAAATGTCTCCAATGCTATGGTTGGGCGTACTCGAACTCTATCTCGTCAAAGCCAAGGTACGCAACCGTTTCTGTGCAGTTAGAAACGCCTGTCAACAAACGCCAGATCTATATTTTTCATCGACTTTGAAGAAGAACTGCAGGTTCGAAATCCCAACCGATGATTAACCCTCATTCCATCGGTGTTCTAATAGCAAACGGTCAGATGATGAACTACAAAGCGGCAGGAGTCTACGGTTTTCCATCCGAGCTATTCAGATGAATGAATTACTGACAAGGTACCTATTCGTACCCTATGGGATGATCAGAATGAGATATATGGTGTCATTGATACTATAAAATACGAATGTATAAAATCACTCCAACTTTAAAAGTATTCGTCGCAGTGTTCAGCAGTGGAAGCAGTGGAAGAGGAAGACTTCTATTATGTTGGAAATATCCGGTTGGGTGGGAGCTGTGTTTTATTTTTATATCAAATTGGTTCCAAAGAGCGGCGCTTTGTAACCGCTGAAGTGATTTACGGCCGAGCTCCTAATCCAATTTGTGGTTTTGCTTTTTGATGTTTTTCCGACAAAATGGAGGGACCTACAGTTTATACTAAGCCCCCTCCGACCGGCCAATGGTTTTTTATGAGGAGCCTTCATTTCAAGTCATAATTACCCCTACCTTGGGGCGACCGTAATTAGTGAAGGAGGAAAATACAAAATATCTCTTGTAAAGCAGTCAGTTCACTAGCCTCTTGGCTCCAACGATACTTTTGACAGTCATAACTATTAAGAAGTATATAATTTGATTTATCTTTGAACTCGCAAAAATATCAATAAAAGTGACAGCTTCAAAATCCAACGCTGAATTACTCTTGCTAAGAGACGCTCCTTATTGACTGAATTGAAAAATAAAGTTCTATCAACGAACAAAGCCCAAATTATACTATAAGACTCTCTTCATCCATCTTGCCATATAATGTGAAAGCCTGGACGATGAAAGCATATGATGAGCCAACATTCGGAGCTTTCGAGAGAAATATTTTGCGTTGGATTGATGATTCTTTCATTGTTCATAAAAATGCTCTGAGGATGCTGTGCGAAGACTTAATATTGATTAAACATTTCATTAAAGAAAATTTCTTTAGAATTCAAAAAAAAAAAAAAGAAAAAATAATTTAATTAGAAGAGAAAGAAAAGATTTAAACATTTTTGTTGTTAAATGTATACGGATTGACAAAAATTCTTTCAGTTGGTGATTTTCAGTTTGTTATTGTTATTTTTGTTAAATCTAAAGTTCTCTTCAATTTTACAACAATCGGCTAAAATGGCGACGAGGAAACGTAAGATTGCTGAGGATAGGTCAGATGAAATTCCGCCGCCAAAGCAAACAAAAATTCGCCATGCGATTTTCTACCGGTTTCGGCATAATTTACAGCCAATACAATGTCTTCAAAAACTATCTCTAAATAGTTTCGAATATTCCAGTTCGGACATTTTTCCGTAGAGGACGAACTCCGTGAAGGTCAACCAAAATCTTCCACTGATGACGTCACTGTTGCTCTGGTGAAATCCGAAATTGACCAAGACACACGACAAAAAATGATTGATAATGAATTGAGGTTGAATGCCATGGCTGTATTACGAATATTAAGTAATCATCTGGGATACACGAAGATACCTGCTCGATGGGTGTCCGGAATTTTAAATGAGGCCAAAAAGACCCTCGAGCGCATTTCGCTCGATTTTTCGTAAACAAATTCAAAAATGGTCAGTCTAGCAACTTTAGTAAGGTCGTTACTGGTGACAAATCTAGTTTCTATAAGTGCGATTCAGAGACCATACAGCAGTTCATGTTATAGTGCTCAACAGGAGCAAGCCCACCCGTAAAATCTCAGCAACAAATTTTAAAAGCAAAAGTCATGATGTCAATTTACTTCACACGATCTAAGATCGTAGTTGCTAATTCATAATAATGCAAATGTATAAATATGATATTCCACAGGAAAAGGGTCAACCGGTAACTGCAAAATGGTACACCGAAGAGTGTTTACTAAAAGTTTTCGCAAATTTGTTGGAAAACGAAAAGAAAGAGGATCATAACAACGCGCTGAAATAAATAGTAATTTTATTGCGATCTCTGGGATCGAAGAAATACTTCCAGTAACATATTCCACGGATCAGCACCTAGTGGTTTCTGGTTATTTCCAAAAATTAAGAGTTAAAAGGAAAGTTCTTTAATAGCAACGAGAAGATAATTAATGCGGTTAATGCTAAAGTTAATGAGCTTAAAAAGCAGGATTTTGTAGACTAATTTCAGAAGTGGATCTATGATTTTGAGAAATGCCTTGAAATCAATGGTCATTATGTAGAGAAGATTAATAGCACAAATATTATATTTCCAATAAATAAAAAAAAAATACTTTTTTTTTGGTTAACTTGCCGCAGTTTCGTTAATCGTATTTTTTAAACATTGTATATACATATATATATCATATAATAATAGTTGCTAAATAAATGTGCGCCACAGTCAAATGGTAGCTAGATGTGCTTCATTGGATTTTCTTTCGATGAAAATCATGATGTCAGCGATTACGAAAATAGAGAAAACAAGGTAAATTAAACTGCTTGCATAAAGCTTTCTGCTGGCATAATGAGACAATAAAAATATTGAACTTTTAACATATGATAAGCGCGGCTTATTGGCTGCTGCTGGTGAAATAAACATCGCTTAGCTAAACTTTAGACTTAAGCACAGTGTCGTTAATTGGCTTGAAGCGTTTTACGTATTATTAAATCTGCTTACACCTGTTGCTAAATTTTAATGCATTTTTTTTATTCATGCTTATAGTATGAGGGTTCTAACTTTATTTGCTGGGCAGTTTGTGCATAAAGCATAACAAATCATTCTTAAAATCTTTGTCTTAAAAGCTCACAAATATGACGTAATACAGCCGATAGTTGTTGTAAGTACGTGACGATTAAAATATGATTATTTCAGCTTAGCCACTCTCATACCAGTTGTGGAGTATTCAAAACCGGCCAATAATTATGAGTGGTGAGTTTGTGAAATAAATTAAATTGCTTCATGCTCATAATCAAATAGGAAAATTACAATTTATTGAGTTTGAATATTTATTAAAAGAAGGGAAAGTTTTCTTTGCTGTTAGAAATAAATTAAAATTATATAAAACAAGACGAAAGAGCTGTCCATGACATTACCATACCAAATTTAGTGTACGTGTTTTTGCATTTTGGAATTAAATAAATGTAATAATTGCCACTTTGTAACTGCTGAAGCGATACACATTGAACTTCTATGAGAAGCTTTTTATTTCATGTCAGAAAAGCACACGGATGCCTGTCGTGGGGTGACCGCGTTTAGAAAAATTCATTTTTTATTATCTTGGATATCGGCCAAGGAACAGGACTCAAACCCCGGTACATATTATTCTGAGAATATGTATATATTTCTTTCCTGAACTGGTAAGTAAATGTTTGTTTTTTGTGTACTGTATTAATCATTTGTCGGAAGCAGCTAACTATAACCTAAATTAAGACCAAAAAATTTTGGGAAATTGTCGTTTAAACTGCTTGTAGCAGCTGTTGAATACAGTCGACCTCAGTTTCCTCCTGCTAAATGTCTTTTACAACCTCAATCGAGTTCCCTGAGTAACTTGAGTTTTCGTAACAAAAAAGTTCGTTTGAGCCCAAATCCGTTGATCGTTGTAAGGTAGGAGTTTTTGGTCTTAAATCGTGCACAACTACAGTTTGGTGTGATGGCGCATTATCGCCTTGAAAGTTGCTCAAAAATGTTTTTGACCACAATTCCGGAAGTTTACGCGCAAACTCCTCAAATCGTTCAAATAACATTCTTTATTGACCGTCTGGCCCGTTACAACGCATTGATGATGAACTTTCTGGTCTTAATGTTTGGTCCCCATACGATATGTAAGTTTTGGCTATAAATTCTTTAAATAAGCAAGAAGAACAAGCAATTTTATGTTCTACATACAGATAATGAACCACATATTGGTATTAAAAATCAATGAAATCGGAAGACTTCATATGAGCTCATACAAATTATTTTTCTGATTTTGTTATACGGTAGTTTTCACCATGATACAATATTCATTCTCTCTTCGCACTCGGCTCCAAAGCTTTCTAACATTAACCGGCCTATTCTCACTGTTACCGGTAAAGTAAATTTTGTTACTTTTTTTAACACCCGAAATTGAATTTGGTATTCTGGCAAACTGGTTACAATGTTTGAAAAAACTTGGGCAGCGCTGATTTTTTCGTCCTTGACAAATTACATTTGCCAGTTGCTATAGTAAAAAAGCATAATATTCACATCGAAATGGCAGACGGTGCACTTCAAAATAAATAAGTATCAGAAAAAGAAGAGTTTGGTCCACCAAAATTTAAATCGAATACAAGAAGATTAGCTCACGGATTTGGTTAGTCTCACAGTTTTAGAGATGTTTCGACTGTGAGGTTTTAGAGCAGTGCAAATTCATTATAAAAAAGTCAATAATCGCTTAAAGTATATTGATATTTGGAAATCTAGTCAGTTAGTTCTGTGAAGAAGATTCCTCTCACTTTTCTAGATTCTCTAACCACTTGGTTTGTTTTACGAGGTACAGGAGATTAATGATGCCTAGAGATGCTTGCTCTGCTAAGCAATGTCAGAAAACTTGTTTGAGAAACATCCCATAC